TGAGGCCCTCCTGTGAGTCACAGCCTCTTCCCTTTTCATCTCTCTTCCCAAAGGTCATTGACATCCTGAGAGGCAAGGCTTCCCGCCCCAGCCCCCAGCCTACTCTGGGGCCAGCAGAGCCCAGCCAAGAGGGGAGCACCCCCATCTCTCCTGAAGGTAGCAGCCAGTTTGGATCTAGTGGTGAGAACCCCCAGGGCCTGAGAGCCTCGCCTCCCTCCCTCCTGGATTCCCCAGTCCCTGCTCTAGACCTTGGTGCCTTCAAGGCTGTCCCAGGCCTCTGGACTTCCTAAGTAAGTCACCTGCTGCAGACCAGGGTGGGGAACCTGCAGCCTCCAGGTTTTGCCCAAGGCCAAGTTTTACAAACGAATCCTTATATTGAGGGGATTTGTTCTGGGAAGCTTGGATTCAGTCAGAGGGCCACACTTGAGGACCTAGAGGGCCATAGGTTCCGCACCCCTGGCCACACTCTCCTCCACTCAGACAACAGCGCGCTCTTCCTCCCCTCAGAACTCTTTTCTCTTCTAGGGCCACCATCAGCATCTCCGGCTTCCTCCTCACCACCTCGCTCTCCCCCTGAGGATCCCCCCACCTCACTCCAAGGCCCCCAGATATTCTTCCTGCCAACCCAGTCCCCAACAGCGTTTCTTCCCTACGCAGGGCCTCTCCGAGCCCCAGGCCGGCCCGTCCCCCCATCCCCTACTCCTGGTGGGAGCTGAGGGCAGAGGGAGGAGGGACTCTGGTATAAAGGGAAGGGCCCCCTGAAAACTGTGAAGGCACATGTCCCCGTTCTTACTGAGACTCACAGGACCAAGGTTTGCACACACCCCCACCTCGAACTTCCTCCCACTCCCCCTCCCTGGCTCTGACCCTCTGCAAGGGGAACCAGGCACCTGGCTGGCACATCCCCCTGCCCGCCCCCCTCCTCATTCCCCCCAACACTCTCTGTCTAAGGCACCACCCCAGGGCTCAGGCTCTGGCTACCTCCCTGGGGCTGAGGACAATGTAAATTATTGGGGATTTCAGTTTACTTTTGTAATAAACTATTTTTGTACCATATGGACTCTGTGCGTGTTTATGTATGTGCCTGCGTGCATAGCATATGTGTACACGTGTGTGTGTATGTGTGTGTGTGTGTGTGTGTGTGTGATGGACAGGTATGGCCCAAAGAGCCCAGTACAGGGGCAGCAAGGTGGCGCAGTGGATACAGCACCGGCCCTGGAGTCAGGAGGACCTGAGTTCAAATCTGGCCTCAGACACATAACACTTACTAGCTGTGTGACCCTGGGCAAGTCACTCGACCCTATTGCCTAGACAAAAAAAAAAACAAGCCAAAGATCCCAGGCCATAGAGGCAGGAGCCCTGCCTGGCCCTAGCTCCTCTCTTGTTTCCCATTAGCTGTGGAACCTGGAGCCACTTGGAAAGGCAGCTCACTATTGGACAGAGTGCTGTCCCTGGAGTCCAGAGAGGTGTGAACGAACCCCAGCAAGTGACCACTCTAACCCTCAAGGGCCTCCACTGTATACTAGAACTCCCCAGGCCTGGAGTGAGACCACGATGGCAGAGTAGATGTGAGGCCAGTGGGAATGTCATTTCTCATCGCTATGCCCCCTACCCCTCTCTGAGCCTCAGCTTCCTGCCTAGAAAATGCTGTTTACATGGCCAGCCTCATCAGGATCTGTGGGGAAAGCACTTTGCAAAAGCCCAGATGGCGGGCTGGTGGCTGGATGGGATTGCACTGGAGACGAGAGTGTCCCTGGATGAGTGTTGTGCCTGCCTTTGGGTCCCACCTCTCAGACCCCCAAAGTCCTGTCTTAGGAAAGCACATCCCCTTCTGTCCAATGAGGAAATTGGGGATCTTCAAGACTCCTCCCCTATCTTAGTTTTTTCTTCCAGCTCTGACATTCTCTGTTCTAAGTTCCCTCTCAGCTCTGACATTCACTGTTCTAAGGCCATAGATTTAGGAGCAGAAAGGGACCTTATTAGGTCATCCAGTCAGAGAACCAGGGAGAGTGAAGTGCCCTGCCCAAGGCTAGCAACTGGGGGGTTCAGTCCCTAAGGGAGCTAGTTTCTCTTTCTGGGCCTTAGTTTCCCCAGCTGTACAATAAGGTCTGGATGGTCTTCATGGTCATTCCATCAAAGGCATTCTATGATTTACCCCTCTCTTCATCAGGGATGGCCCCAGGTTCCCATCCAGACTTCTCAGGTAGACATTCAAGGCCTCCACACACCCCTTGTGTTCCACCAGGTCAAGCTTCTCCACAAAATGGGTGCTCCTGTCTTTGCCCAGAGTCAAGGGTGGGGTACCTGTGGCCTTGAGACCATACCTGGCCCTTTAGGTCCTCATGTGCAGCCCTTTGACTGAGTCCAAACTTCACAGAACAAATCCCCTTCATAAAAGGATTTGTCCTGAGGCAGCTAGGTGGTGCAGTGAATAGAGCTCTGGCTTTGGAGTCGGGAGGACCTGAGTTCAAATCGAGCCTCAGACACTTAACACTTACTAGATGTGCGACCTTGGGCAAGTCACTTAACCCTGAAGGCCTCACCCAAAAAAGCAAAAAAAAAAAAAAAGGATGAAAGGATTTGTTCTGTAAAACTTGGACTCAATCAAAAGGCCACACCCAAGGACCTAGAAGGCCACATGTGACCGCAAAGCCACGGATTCCCCAAGCGTGGCCCAGACTACTCTTGCCTAACTGAAAGGACCTCCCCATTCTCTCCCCACTCTCCTCCAGGGGCCAGCCCAGCTCTTTGCCTCTCCCAGACAGTCCTCCCTGTTCATCTCTAGCCACATGGGAGCCTCCACAAGGGATGTCCCCTTCTGGAGGTCCTGCCCCCAGTTCTGCCCAGTGCTGAAGTTATATAGCACGTCTCTGTCTTCCTCAAAGGGTCTCGTCCATTTGGGACTCAGGAAAGGATTGTTGAATGGCTCTGTCTGCCTCCACGCGTGACTCCATGTTCCCGACTACTGGTCTCTGTGTATGTGGGACCTCGTGTCTATGTACGACATGTGTGTAAACATGTCACTGGATCTAATGTGTGTGTCACTGGAGACAGAAAAGATGGGACCGTGTGTCTGTCTCATTTATTTGTTAAGTGCTTACTATGACCAGGTCATCTGGTGAACACTGGGGATTCAAAGAAAAGTCCCTGCCCTCACAAAGCTCACATTCGAAATGGGGGGGGGGGGAAGACAACAAATATAAATAAATCCTTATGAGATAAATTCCAAGCAGATGGGAGGGGACCTCAGAGGGGAAGGGACCAGCAGCTGGGAGGTTCAAGAAAAGCCACCTGGGCTGAAACTAAAGGAAGTCAAGGATTCCAAAGAGTTAAGAGCAGGGGTGGGGAGAGAAGGTGTTCCAGGCATGGGCAATAAGAGCCGGTGCAAAGGCATGAGGGTGGGAAATTAAAGAGAGGAGCATGTGATTGGATCACATAAGACTTGGAGTCAAGAAAACCTGAGTTCAAATCCTCCCTCAGGCACTTCCTACCTGTGTTACCTTGGCCGAGTCATTTAACCTCTATCTGCCTCAGTGTCCCCAAATGTAAAATGGGACTATATCAATGACATGAATATTTATAATAATAATAATATACTACTAATACATGTTAACTCCAATGAGTTAACCTAGCACTTTACAATCCTTAAAGCATTATAGAAATGCTAGCCATCATTATTATTATTGCTGTCAATAAACTAGCATTTGTTTATCTTTAAGGGTTTGTTGTTGTTGAATCATTTCAGTTGTATCTGACTCTCTGTGACCCCGTATGGGGTTTTCTTGGCAAAGACACTGGAGTGTTTTGCCATTTCCTTCTCATTTGACAGATGAGGAAACTGAGGCAAACAGGGTGAAGTGACTTGCCCAAGGTCACACAGCTAGTAAGTGTCAAGTGTTTGGTCTGAGGCTCTAAATATGTGTTTTTAAATAATAAAAAATATGTGTGTCTCTGTTTAGAAGGGAGACTGTGTGTGACTCTGCAGTAGCAGGCTGGTTAGCGTCCGTGTCTCCAGTCTCTCCCCATTCCATTCTATCCACCACTCAGCTAGCATGATGGGCTTCCTAAAGTACCATATCTCACCACATCACTCTCTACCTAATCAACTCCAGTGGCACCTTATTATCTTTAGTATCAATTACAACATCCTCTGCTTGGGTTTTAATTATTATTCAGTCATCTCAGTCATGTCTGACTCTCCATGTGGGGTTTTCTTGGCAGAGATACTAGAGTGGTTTGCCATTTCTTTCTTCAGCTCATTTTACAGATGAGGAAACTGAGGCAAACAGGGGGAAGAGACTCATCCGGGGTCACACAGCTGGGAAGTGTCTGAGGCTGGGTTTGAAGGCAGGAAGATGAGTCTTTCCCAACTCCAGGCCAGGCGCTCTATCCACTGTGGAGACACCTGGCTGCCCTGGGCCTGACACATAGTAGGCTCTTAATCAACGTGTATTGACCAATAGATTTTGTGACCATGTCTGTCTGTGTGAGTAGATCCCAAGTCTGTATGTGTGTGTGTGTGTGTGTGTGTGTGTGTGTGTGTGTACACCTGGTTTTCTGTATATTTGCAATGGTCTGTGTGTCTGTTGCTGGGTGGGTCTGTATGATTATGTGTCTGCATTGCTGTGTTCATGACTCTGTGTGTGTGTGTGTGTGTGTGTGTGTGTGTGTGTGTGCGTGCGCACACGCTCACTCACATTCAAGGCCCTCTCTTCCCCAGAGAGGGCCATGGAGGGGGAAAGGGAGGACAGTGGGGAGCCTCCTGCCCTGCCCATCTTCCTTGGCCCCTACTGGACTGAGAGCTGGCGGGGAAGGTTGAGCAGGAGGGACCACAGTGCCCCCTCGTGGCCACCAGCCCTGGCCTGCTGCTGCCCCACCTAGGTTCCTCTTACTGGTTCCACCGGTTCAGAGACTGGACTCCCTTCCCCCGCACACACACCTCCAGCTTGGAAGAAACTGGGCCCCTGCTGCGCCCTGCCCAGCCCCGCCCCTCCAGCATACCTGCCCCCCACCTCTGCTCACAGAGCCTTGGCTGGCCCTCTGGGGACCTCAGCTTCTGAGACCCCAGACCAGCTCCTCTCAAAAACCCAGGGGCTCCCGTGTCCTGCTCTGAGCTCCCTCTGGAACCCAGGGGCCTACCACCCCCCTTTGCTCCCTATCAGGAATCCAGGCACCTGGGTCCCCAGGCCTGCTCCCATGAAGGCCTCAGACCTTCAGACCATCTTCCTCGTGGCCTCTCCTGGAGCCCAGCGTCCAGGGCACTGGACATTGTCCTCAGGAAGCCAGGTGTCTGGCCCTACCAGTGCCTGCCTCCACCCTCCCTTTCCTGCCCACACCCTTGGGCGGGCATTTCTCAGACTTCTTCCTCCCAGGGCTTAGCTCTCCATGGCCTCCTCAGCCTGGCCGGGCTTGCCCCAGGGTCTCCGGGGGGAGCAGAAGGCCCTGGCCCAGGCTCTACGGGCACTAGAGCACCTGGAATCTATCCTGTGCCGAGCCCCCCCCCTGGATTCCAGCCCCCCCTCCTTGCCTCACCTGCTTCCGCAGATGGCCTGGCTGCTGCAGCAGGTGACAGAAGCCAGGAGGCAGGCTGCAGGAGGGCTCCAGGAGCCCGGGGGGCCCGCTGATTTCCTAGCTGGCTTCCTGACCAACCTGGGCCAGAAGGTGCAGCAGGTAGCCATCCTCTTCCCTGCAAGGGACAAGGCCTTCTGGGAGGGCCCTAGCCACAGGTGAGGAGGGGGGAGGGCTGATTCCCCACCCCATCTCCGGGGCCTAGACCCCCATCTCCAATCCACCCAGAGCCAGCTGGCCCTGCTGACACTGGCCAGACTGAACCAGTCCAGGGGCCCGACCCAGGGAGACCAGAGGGATTGGTTCCCACACCCTCTACCCTCCTTTGTGGGTCCTCTATAGACCCTGACCCTAGGGGGCAAAAGAGATACTAGCTGACCATAGTATGCCCTACCAACCATGTGCCCTGGGGGGCTAGAATCCGGATCTGCTTTGGGAGGTTCCAAAGAAGCAGCAGGCAGCTAGGTGGTGCTCACAGACACAGCTCTGGGCTTGACGTCAGGAAGTTCAAAACTGCCCATTAGGCTTTTACTTGTGACCCTGGACAATTCACTTAACCTCAGTGTTCTCCTCTGCAAAATGGGGATCATAACACGCCACCCTCTCAAGGCTGCTGTAAACATGAGCCGGGATGACATCTGTAAAGTGCTCAGTAAATTTTCAAGGGTTTTGGAAATGCTTTTACAGTTCAGGGATTTTTCAGTTGTGCCCGACTCTCCGTGATCTCATTTGGGGTTTGCTTGGCAGAGATACTGGAGTGGCTTGCTCTTACTTTCTCCAGCTCATTTTACAGATGAGGAAACTGAGGCAAACAGGGTGAGGTGACTTGCCCAGGTTTCAACTCAGGAAGTTCAAACTCAGGCCCAGCACCCTCTCCATTGTGCCACCTAGCTGCCCCACGTAAATGCTATTATCATGACTACTCAGAAACCTTTGGGTCCCCTCTCCCACATCCCTGAAACGTGGTCACACAACCATGCCTTTCACTGACAGGCAGCTCACTACCTGCAAAGGCCACCTCGTCCACTTGTTCATTCCTCTTCCTTAGCTCCTAGGTTGGGGGGGAGGGGAGGGCACCCGCACAGAGAATGGGCCTAATCCTTTGGCTGACTCCAGCCCCCAAGTTTCTCTCCTCTATCCCCAGTTCCCTCAGCCGACCCTCGTAAGCTGGCCCCTCACCTCACTCCATTCATACTCCAGATGGGGGCTGATCTGGCCAGAATACAGGTGACAACTGTCACCTCCCCCACTCTGGACACCAGGGGTAGCCTGAGGCAGCAGCTGGGAGAGAACTGGCCTCCAAGCCAGGAAAACCTGGGTTCAAATCTCCCGTCTGATACATGCTAGCGGGTCAATTCACCTCCCTGCCCCTTGAGAGGCAGAGGATATGCAGAGCTGTGTCATCGAGGGAGTTTGTTCATTCCTGTACAAAGGGCCCTATCCCAAAGGCATTGTTGGCTCGTCCGGGGGCCTTACAGACTGTCCTGGTGATCTTCTGGACCCTGTCATGGGGACTCCCACACATCTCATCCAGGGAACCCTAAGGAATGATCAGACAGACCCTGGGGGTTTTGTGGTACCTCCTGAGGACCCTCGGGTGGGGAGGGGTGGCTGGTCAGGGATGTGGGGGCACCTGGGTTCTCACGACCTCGCCATGGCCTTTTCCCAGGAGGCAGCTGACCAAGCTGGCCCTGATCTTCAGTCACATGCTCACAGAGCTCAGAGCCCTCTTCCCTGATGGTTGCTACTGCGGACACACGTACCAGCTTAGCATACCCCAGGCTCGGGAATTTTGGAGACAGAAGTGTGGAAAGAGGTGAGCTATGGTAGACCCCTCCCTCCTCAACACAGCATCCAGGCACCACTATCACCATCGCCACACAAGGCAACTCAAGGGCCCTTCTGTCTAGCCCCACATCTCTTGTCACCCCCTGGATCCAGGGGACAATTATAAAATGGCAGTGTCAAAGCTAAGAAAGTCCTTAGAATGTGGAAGGTCAGGACTGGGAGAGGCCTTAGAACAGGGAATATCAGAGCTGGGAAGTCCCTTAGAACAGGGAATGTCAGAACTGGGAGGGCCCTTAGAACAGGGAATGTCAGAGCTGGGAGGGCCCTTAGAACAGGGAATGTCAGAGCTGGGAGGGCCCTTAGAACAGGGAATGTCAGAACTGGGAGGGCCCTTAGAACAGGGAATGTCAGAGCTGGGAGGGCCCTTAGAACAAGGGATGTCAGAGCTGGGAGGGCCCTCGGACCCCATCTGGCCACATGCCATTTTAAAAGTGGTCAGCTGAAGCCCAGGGTGGTGCCCACTACCCCTTTCACCTTCAGGACCTTCAATCCCTAACCTCAGTTGGTAACATGGTGCTTCTGAGCCAGGGAGGAGGTGGGGGCAAGCTTGTCTCTCTGACCTCTTAGGTGTGTGGTTCCATGGGAAGAATTTGAGAAACTTCTGAGCTCCTGCCACCCTGTGAAGCCTGGTCCTATGGCCCAGGCCCTGAAATCCACCATAGATTTAACCATCAGCGGCCACGTGTCCATCTTTGAGTTTGACGTCTTCACCCGCCTTTTCCAGGTCTCCAGAGGGCCTGGGGTGTCAGATGGGTCCAGGATGCTTAAGCCCCTGAGCGGCTTGAGGGATCAGGATGCCTGGGTCCCCAAGGAGGGAGGAGGGATCTAGATGCTTGGATCCCCGGGGGGACAAGAGTTGGGAGATCAGGATGCCTAAGCCTCTGAGAGGGAAGGAAGGCCCCCTCCCCTTACATCTCTACTCCTTCCCAGCCCTGGTCCTCTCTCCTCAAGAACTGGACTCTGCTGGCTGTCACTCACCCCGGCTACATGGCCTTCATCACCTACGCAGAGGTGAAGGCCCGCCTGCAGACCCACCTGGACAAGCCTGGCAGGTGGGGGCTACCAGGGAAGGGACAGGGAAGATTGGGGGGCACGCTTGGGGCACGGGGAGGAGGCCAGGCCCCGCAGGCCTCGATTCCGGTGGGAGCAGGGTGGAGAATGGGGGGCGGCGAGGTCCTGCTGAGCCGGATCTTTCCTCCCCTAAGCTACATCTTTCGCCCGAGCTGCACCCGCCTAGGTCAGTGGGCCATTGGCTACGTGAGCGAAGACGGCCAGGTCCTGCAGATGATTCCCCTGAACAAGCCGCTTTGCCAGGCCCTGAGAGAAGGCCAGAAGAAAGGCTTGTGAGTCTTGTTCTCCACCCTGCCCTGCACTGCAGGCCCCGCTCCTCTCTGTGGTCCCCTTCCTCTAGAAAAGGAAAGCAGGGCACCAGACAATCTCTAGGATTACCCCCACTTCAGACATTCTGTGGCTGCTGCGTGACTGTGGATAAGTCACTTCCCCACTGGGGGCCTAATTTCCTCCTCTGCCAAAGGGAGGCATTGGCTTGCGGTTCTCATTGGCCTTCCAGCTCCCAGCTCTACTGAGGTCCCCTTTCTCCCTTAGCCTCTATCAGGCTCCTGTTACCAGCAACCTCCACCAGAGGGCAGACTTCTCCACTCCACCCTAGGACTGAGTCTATCAGACCCTTATTTTAGCTGCCCTCAGTTTCCTTCTCTGTTAAAGGAGGAGGTCAGGACAAATGACATCCAGGGCCCCTTCCTCCTCCCAGTCCTGACTTCCTTTGTTCTAAGGGCCCTTCTTATTCTAACAGTCTATGATCTAGGCTGCCTTCCATCTCAGGCATTCAATATGCCCAGCTGTGTGACCCTGGGCCAAGTCCCTTCACACCTGTCCTCCTTAATTTCCTCATCTGTCAAATGGAGATAATGATAGGACCTAATCTCTCAGGATACATGGTCTCATAGTATATATGACCAAGGTTTAAAATGAAATAACATAAAATATTTTTGCAAACCTTAAAGCATTATATAAATACTAGATTTTGTTATCATCATCATTCTTTTTCAGTCATTCAGCAGTGTCCAATTTGTTGTGACCCCAAAGACTATGCATAGCATGCCAGGCCCTTCTTTCCTCCACTCTCTCCCAAAGTCTGTCCAAGTTCATGTTTATTGTTTCCATGATACTACCTAACCATCTGATCCCCTGCCGTCCCCTTTTCCTTTTCCCTCCAACCTTTCCCAATATCAGAGTCTTTTCCAGTGAGCCCTATCTTCTCATGATGTGGCCAAAGTATTTCAACTTCAGCTTCAGTATTTGGCCTTCCAGTGACCAGCCTGAGTCAATTTCTTTAAGCATTGACTGATTTAATCTCCTTGCTATCCAAGGGACCCTCAAAAGTCTTCTCCAGCCTCACAATTCAAAAGCTTTGATTCTGCAGTGTTCAGCTTTCCTCATAGTCCAACACTCACAGCCACACATTACTGCCGGAAAAACCAGAGCTTTGACCATACAGACCTCTGTCAGCAAGGCGATGTCTCTGCTTTTCAGTGTGTTGGCCAGATTTGCCATAGCTGTTCTTCCAAGGAGTCTTAATTTCATGGCTGCAGTCGCCATCTGCAGTGATCTTTGAGACCAGAATATAAAATCTGACACTGTTTCCATTTCTTCTTCCTCTATTTGCTAGGAAGTGATGGGGCCAGTTGCCAAGATCTCAGTTTTTTTGATGTCAATCTTCATAGCAGCTTTTACACTCTCTCTTTCACCCTCATCAAGAGGCTTCTTAATTTTTCTTCACTTTCTTCCACCAGAGTGGTATCATCTGCATATGGGAGATTGTTGATATTTCTCCCAGAAATCTTAATTCCAGCTTTTGATTCCACTACCCTGGCATTTTCTATGATGTACTTTGCATACACGTTAAATAAATAATGTGACAATATACAGCCTGGTCATACTCCTTTTCCAATCAAACCAATCAGCTGTTCCATGTTCGGTTCTGACTGTTGCTTCTTGGCCCTCATACAGGTTCCTCAGGAGACAAGTAAGACGGCCTGGTCCTCCCATCTCTTTGAGGCCTTGCCACATTTTGTCGTGATCCACACAGTCAAAGGCTTCAGTGGAGTCAGTGAAGCAGAAGTAGATGTTTTTCTAGAGCTCCCTTACTTTCTCCATAGCCTAGCAAGTGTTGGCAATTTGGTCTCTAGTTCCTCTGCCTCTTTGGGAACCAGCCTGATCTTCCATTAATTCTTGGTTCACATATAGCCTGCAGAGTCTTAAGCATAACTTTGCTGGCACAAGTGTTTGGTAATTTGACCATCCCTTGGCATTGCCCTTCTTTAGGACTGGGACACAAGCTGATCTTTTCTGATCAGTGGCCACTGTTGTGTTTTCCAAATTGCTGACATATGGAGTGCAGCACTTGAACAGTATCATCTTTCAGGATTTTGAACAGCTCAGCTGGGATTCCATCACCTCCACCAGCCTTATTGCTAGCAGTGCTTCCTAAGGCCCCCTTGACTTCATTCTCCAGGATGTCTGGCTCTGGATCAGTAACCACACCATCGTGGTTATCAGGCCTGTTAAGGTCATTACATCATTCTATTTTCCCTTTAAAGCACCAACCTTTCTTATTCTAAGGACTTTCCCAGCTCTGACATCCTCTGTTCTAAGTTCCTTTCCAGCTAGGGCATTCTGCATTCTGAAGGCCCTCCAACCTCAGTTCTAATGTTCTCCCCTAGCTCTCCTGCTCTAAATATCCAATAGCTTCCTGAGGCTGTCTCTTTGGAGCTCTGAATCTGCTCACTTTCTCTGTGGGCCATTGTTTCTCCTCCTGACTCAAGAGCACTGTGTACCTCGGACTTTGTGAGGCGCTAAGTTAAACGCCTACCCTCAAAGACCCCCCACTCTGACAATGCCCTTGGCAGAGGAGGAGTTGGCCCATCTGGGCTAACTTTCTGGAGGAGGACGTTATGAGTAGAAGGAGAAAGATGCTAATAAGCAGAGAAGAGATGGAAGGGTTGATCTGTAACGAAAAGGTTCTACTTTTTACCCAGGCTGTACTTGACAGGAAGGGAGGCTAGGAATTGTTTGTGAATTCTCCTTATTCCTCACCCCCATGAATACTGCATTGTCATGTTCCCTCAGTTGCCTCTATCCAGATGGGAGGAATGTGAATCCAGACCTGTCTGAGCTGGCAGAAGTAAAGGACCACAGACACATTGAGGTCTCACAGGTAAGCTCCCCCATTTATCATCCTCCTGCTACTCCACCTGCCCCAGAATCAGTCAGCAGTGACCTCTCAGCCATCTGCCCAGCCCTGATGACTCAAATCAGTCTCTTCTCCCTTCTGCTGTAGCCCTCCTTTTTAGTGTTGGAGCTAAAAGGTCTTCAGAGTATAGAATATGGAATGTTGGAGCAGGGAGTTCAGCCTTTAGAATGTGGAATGCCAGAGCTGGGAGGGGTCCTTAGAACATGGAATGTCAGAGCTGGGAGGGCTCATAAAATATGGAATGTCAGAGCTGGGAGGGACCTTAGAACATGGAATGTCAGAGTTGGAAGGGGTCCTTAGAACAGGGAATGTCAGAGCTGGGAGGGGTTCTTAAAACAGGGAATGTCAGAGCTGAAAGGAGACTTAGAACAGAGAATGTCAGGGCTGGGAGGGACCTTAGAACACGGAATGTCAGAGCTGGAAGGGGTCCTTAGAACAGAGAATGTCAGAGCTGGAAGGAACCTTAAAACATGGAATGTCAAAGCTGGGAGGGCTCTTTAAACATGGAATGTCAGAGCTGGAAGGGGTTCTTAGAACAGGGAATGTCAGAGCTGAAAGGAGCCTTAGAACAGAGAATGTCAGGGCTGGGAGGGCCCTCAGAACATAGAACACGGGCTGTCAGAGCTGAAAGAGTTCTCCCTAACTAATCAGTGGGCACGTCTATAGCCCCTCCGTATACCAGGCCTCTGTGCTGGGGTTACAAAGACAGAAACGCAGCAGTCCTAGTCCTCAGACTTACATTCCATTAAGGTAGACAATGTGCCCTTAAATAACATGCAAATGATTGCAAGGCACACTGGGGTGGGGAGGAGGAAGAGAATAATAATAGTAATAATAATACTTGGGCAGCTTGGTGGCACAGAGGATAGAGCGCTGGGCCTGGAATCTTAGGAAGAGCTGAGTTTAAATATGGCCTAAGACACTCCCTAGCTGGGCGACCCTAGGCAAGTCACTAAACCTCTGTTTGCCTCAGTTTCCTCATCTGTAAAATGGGGGTAATAACAGCACCTACCTCCTAAGGTTGTCAGAATCAAATGAGACAATAATTGCAAAGGGCTTTGCAAACCTTAAAGTGCTATATAAGTGGGAGATATAATAATAGCTAATAATAACCTAACATTTCCATAGTGCTTACCGTCTGCCAGGCACTGTGCTAAGTGCTTTACAATCAGGATTTCATTTGACAATAGCAAAATAGATGCTATTATTATCCCCATTATACAGTTGAGGAAACTGAGGCAAACAGGGGTGAAGTGACTTACCCAGGTTCACCCAGCTAGAACGTGTCTGAGGCTGGATTTGAACTCAGCTCTTCCTATTTCCAGCTGCCACGATCAAAATAGGCTTCAGGGGTTGATCTAGGAGTTGAGGGGATACAGATTCAAAGAACGGAGGTGAGAAAGGACTGAATTTGAGGAGTGGAGGACCGTGAAAGGCCATGCAAAGGAGAAGGAATAGAATGTGACACAACAGTGAGGAGAAGAGTTAGCTGCGCCACCAAGGATGGAAAGGAGAGCGAGGAACTCACCCACGTTCTCTTGGGCTGTTCTCCCTCCTCTGCTTGGACTACTGACCTCCCTGGCCTCCTTTGAATCTTAACTAAAATTGTGCCTTCTACCGGGAGCCTTCCCCAACCCCTCTTAATCCCAGGGCCTTCCCTCCGTTGTTAATTATTTCCCATTTATTGTCCAGCTGGCTAGCTTGTTTGCATGTCGCCCCCCACCCCCATTAGACTGCAAGCTCCTTGAAAGCAGGCATTGTCTTTTGCCTCTTTTTGTGTCCCCGGTGCTTAGCGCAGTGCCTGGCACATAGTAGACACTTGGTAAACGTTCACTGAATTGAATTAGTGTTTTAATTACAAGGCCAGAAAGGTAGGTTGTGAACGGCATTAAATGCCACAGCAAGGCGTGTGTATTTGATCCTAGAGGCAATGAGGAGCCCCTACAGTTTCCTGAGCAGAGGAGTAACATGCCAGACCCATGCTCTGGGAAAACCCCAAATAGGGTCACGAAGAGTCAGCCATGACTGAACAATAACAAAAGTAGGAATGAGGATTCCATAAAGGAGACTGAGAAGGAGCAGCCAGACAGGGAGGAGGAGAGCAGTGTCACAAAAATCTGAGGAGAAAAGAGCATTCAGAAGGAAAGGGTGATCAAGAGTGCTGAATGCTGCGGAAGGGGGAGTGAGGAAAGACCACCGAATCTGGCAGTGGACAGAGCAGTGGTCACTTTGGAAAAAGCCATTTTGTTTGAGTGATAAGGTCAAAAGCCATATTGTGCTTTTGGGCAGCGAGGAGCAAATTTATTGAACATATAAAGGACTCAGGAAGATCTGATTTCAGATCCAGCTGGACACAGAAAGGGTAGACTTTCTGAGAGAGCAGCAGTGAAAAGGAAGTAAAAAAGATGAGTGCTGAGGAAATGACCGGGCCAAGGACAAGATCTCTAGGACCGGGGAGTATGTTTAGAGGTAGCACAGAAAGAGATAGGAAGAAGGAATGATAAAGTAAAAAGAAACTGGGAAGGGAGGGAGGGGAGGCCAAGAGCAAAAGTTGGGTAAGCAAGGACGAAGCCTGTGGGGTCATTCTCAGAGACCAGAGGGAAAAGAGAGAGGACTGACGACACAGAAACATCTTAAGCAGAGAGAGGAGATGAAAGAGGTCGCATGGGACGATCTCAGTTGTCTCATAAAATGTTAAGCCAGTTCATCTGCACAGAGCAAATGGGGTGGAGATGGATTGGGGGGCTGAGAAGAGAGGAGGCAGGTGGGGGGCGGGGTTCATCAGAGAAGAATAAAAGGAGATACCCGATTGAAAAAAGAGAACCCGATTGAAGTCAGCATGTATACATCTTACAGCAGTGTGAAAGGGATGGTAGAGTGACCACTACTATTTTGTCCTCCATTCTACTAATGACTCACCACCCAGATGGTTTTTCCCTGTATAAATGTTTCTTCTGGGAAGTAATATCTAAGAATCTGTAAATCTCCTCCTTTTTGTTAGCTACAAGCCCCCCACCAGAGACAGAGATTCTGGCAAAACATCTGTGTTAGACATATTTCTATCTTTACTCTGAGGATGTTCCACCCCCACCCCCAGCCCCATCATTTGCTTCTTACCAACTGTATTTCCAATAAGTATAACACCAATAGGGATGGCTGGCAGTTATCCCTATTTATAAAGACAAAATAAACTTTTAAAACAAAGAAAGACAAGCGGCTTCCCCCTCCCCAAGCCCAAAGGAAAAGGCTTCCCATGAAGAAGCTCAAGGCAGGAACTGAAATATAAATACAAAATTTTCACCTCAGGGTCTCCAGTAAGGGGTGGGGGAGTTTCAGCAACACCAATTCTCTTGTCCAGCTGACCCAAGCCCTGGCTCCTTTCTGGTGCTTGCCTCTGCTAATGCTTCTGCTCTCTCTGTGACTCCTTACAACTTCCCTGTGTCCAGCTCTGTGTTAATTCTCCTCCTCAAGTCCTCTTCAAGTTCTTCCTCTAGGCCTCAAGAGATTCCCCTAGGCAGGCTAAACCTTTTACAAGCCATCTAACCCCTTCTTGTGGTCCCTTTTCTCTTATTAGATCCTGGGCTTTCAAAGACCGCTCCCTTACAAATGTATATGTTGGTCTGAAAATCGGTGGGTCTGGGAGTGCCAGTGCCCCAGACACGCAGAAATGAAGCTCATTGAGTTTTAGAAGCTTCTCTGCTATCTCCACTCTATGGTTCAGATTTTCTGTCCTTTTTTTTTTTTTAAGATCCATACTGTCAGGGAAGAGGCTGTTTTTCTTTCTTGCTCCACCCACAACAGGCTACTTACTCAGGCTGTATAACCTTTAATCTTGCTTCATCCATTAGCTTGATCTGACTAGCAAAGTCCTCAGGAGTTACTTTCAACACATCATGGAACTACTACATTGCTTTTGTTGTCATGGGTCCAGTTCTGTTCTTCCGGAGAGGATGAGCTGCTGCTTCTGCTGGCCTGGGGAGGAGGGGAGATGACCAGGGTGCTGGCCAATGGGCCCTTATGTTTTGTGGCCTTGCACAGCTCCAATTTAGCAGGTGCTCATATTTTTCTTTCATGTTGTCCTCACTCTCTCTCATTAGATGGGGGTAGGGGGAGGCTCCCTGTCATTGCTGGGCCTGCAATCTTGACTGGTCCCTTTGGCCCAGGCTGCCTAGTGTCTCTTCTCGGTCACCCTGAAAGCCTTTGGGTCAGAGATGGCCCAAGCATCAGATGGAGCCATAGTCAGCAGGAAATCAGAGCCTATAAGAGAGCTTTTTATAAAACTATGACTAAGAAAGAGAAGAGGAATATTGGATAATAGCTTGAAAGTATGGTAGATCCAACTGAGGGGAAAATAGTGAACAGAGAGACTGAAAATTGTAGGGGGAGGGGAGCAAGAGCAGGTATAATCTGATGGTTGATCTTGGCAAGGAGAAAAATCTGTATCCTCCTCAGAGACTCCAGGAGAGAGGGGAGGTAGGGACAGGATAGTAACGTTGACTTATTCTGAGATGTGGAGCAAAGAAAGTCGGCCAGAAGTGGATTTACTTTTTTCACTAAGGTCATGAGAATCCTTTATGGGAAAGGCAGGTGTGGGAGGTTTGAGGAAAGAAGAGAAGGTTTGGAATGCCCCGTGGGGTGGATGGAGCCTGAGGGTTGCTTTGCTGCAGTGAAAGCCCAGCTGAGATTAGATTCCACAAATTTGGAGGGTTTGCTCAATTGCGTAATTCTCGCCAATTCTGTTCAACATCATGGGAGTAGGAGCAGAGGAAACCCATGGTGAAAGAATCCGGGGTTGAGGTTTGGCAAAGCATGAGGGGTGAAAGGACAATCCGAGAGAGCTTCTTAGAATGTAACATCACAGAAGGTCAGAGCTGAAGTCACCTTAGGTAGAGACAATCTGGGTCTACCCTGTCTCGTGTTACAGATGGGGAAACTGAGGCCCAGAGAGGGAAGTTAGCGGGCATGAGGTCCAGCCCCTGACCTATTGGGTCCCTTTCTCCCTCTCTGGGCCTCAGTTAGATACGTGAGGTGATAATGTGAGACAAGAGGGTGTCCAATGACCCCCATGGACTCTAAGCCTCTATTTGATTTGTTTCTGGCCAGGAACAATTCCAGCTGTACTGCACCATGAACTCCACCTTTGAACTGTGCAAGATCTGCACTGAGCGGGACAAGGACACAAGGCTGACGCCCTGTGGCCACCTCATGTGCTACCCCTGTCTGGATGGCTGGCAGGTGTGCGAGGCTTTGTTCTGAGAAGGGGGAGGGTCCTCAGGCCCGGTCCTGGTCACTACTCCTCTGCCTTTCTGTCTCCCACTAAGGATCCCTCTGGCTGGACTTCTACCTGTGTCTCTCTGCCTTTCTCTCTCTGTCCCTTCTCTCCATGTCTCCATCCATCTCTGCCTCTTTCTGACTCTCTCTCTCTCTCTCTCTCTCTCTCTCTCTCTCTCTCTGTCTTTCCCCCTCCCTCTCTCTATTTCTTTCTCCTTCTCTCTGTGCCTGGTCTCAGCCTTTCCATCCCGGACTCTGTTTCAGCCTTTACCTTTTTCTCTCTCCTCTCTCTTCTTCTTTCTTTGTTTCTGTCTCATAATCCACCTCCATTCTGCTCAGGTAAGAACTGGACCATGTGACTTGACTTCTGCTCCAGCTCTGACCTGCTATGATTCTGAAACTCTGTGCATGCTTGTGTGTGTGTATGCATGTACACATGTGTGCATGTGTGTATGCATGTGCATGTGCTTGTATGTGTGTGTGTGTGTGTCCATCTCAGCCTTCTTCTACCCATATGTCCTTCTATCATTCTCTCCATCTCGGTCTTTCCATGCCTGTCTCTGCCTCCACACTGTGTCTCTCATTCCTCCCTTATCTCTTCCTCTCCATCTCTCTGTGTCTATCTCTTCCTGTGTATCTTTCTCTCCATCTCAGTGTCTCTCCATATTTTCTCATGTGCATCTCTCCATCTCTCCCTCCTCCACCCCCACCCCCATTCCACACACCCCCCCCCGTTGCAGCCCTGGGGTAGTCAGTCAATAAATATTTGCTAAGCACCTACTATGTGTCAGGTGTTATGCTATGTGCTAGAAGCTGGAGGTTAAGCACAGGGGGAGAGGAAAAGTGGGCAGACCCTGACTTTGCTTCACCTACCCCCAGAAATCCCCAGACCACACCTGCCCCTTCTGCCGATGTGTGATTCAGGGATGGGAGTCTGTGACCATCCAGCCTTTCCCTGGGGATTCACAAGACCAGGAAGACATGGAGACCTCAGTTAAGGTGAGATCTGGGCTGAGGATGAAGGTGGTGAGAACGAAGGGAGTGGCAGAGGAGGAGGAGGAGGAGGAGGAGGAGGAGGAGGAGGAGGAGGAGGAGGAGGAGATAAGAAAAAGAGAATTGGGGTGGGGAGAGATAAGGGGGAGGGAGATACTTGGAGAAGCAGAGACTAGGAGAGAGCAGTGAGAGGAAGAGATGCTGATCCCCTGCAATGCCTCCTCCAGGTGTGTTCCAGGAATCCCCCTCTTGAGGCTCCCCCCCTGCCCCCAAGGCCTAACCTGCCCCCTAGAGGATATGAGGACAGTGAACTGGTGAGTGATGGCCAACTCCTACATCACCAGCCCCCTCTTCCCCACCTTGGCCGTCCCCTCACCCCTCCTGCCTCTTGAGGACCACCAGTCTCACAGGCCACCAGATCTGGCGGAAAGGACCTGAGTCTTCAACCTAGCCCTTCTACCGTATGATCTTGGGGTTTTGCCCTTCACAGCCCCAACAATAAAACTCATGAGCTGTAAGGGCACTCCCACTTCTGATATTCCCTATCCTAAGCCCCCTCCCAGCCCTGACATTCCCTGTTCTAAGGGCCCTCCCAGCCCTGACATTCCCTGTTCTAAGGGCCCTCCCAGCCCTGACATTCCCTGTTCTAAGGGCCCTCCCAGCCCTGACATTCCCTGTTCTAAGCTCCCTCCCAGCCCTGACATTCCCTGTTCTAAAGCCCCTCTCAGCCCTGACATTCCCTGTTCTAAGCCCCATCCCAGCTCTGACACCCTTTAATTCTGAGAGACAGAAATTGTCAGACTAGACTAGCGCATGAAAGTCCTAGGCCGTGGGGCTTTCTCTGCCAGCTGCAGTCCCTTTGCCGGGCCTGTACAGTCGCCGGTGCTGGCAGACAGGCCCCTGGGATTGCACGGCCCTGGCGGCTCGAGGACCCGATGCCCTCTCTCCTTGGCTGTTACTCTCCCCCAAACCCCTTTCTCAGGCTGAGCTCCTCAGGGAGCTCCCCCTCCCACCCTGCCTTCCATTTGCTGCTTGGACCTGGCTCCATATTTGGCTGGAGCTGACAGGGTGTCCTTCCCCCCTTCCTGCCGGCCCTCTGTTTGCCCAGGCGAGGCTGTGTTCTCTTGCTTCCTGAGTCCTTGTTTGTTTGAAGAGGGGCCAACTATTGATTTCAAGGATTTGATTTCTCCGTATACCCAAGTGCCCTCCCCCTGCCAACACCCCCCCACACACACACACACTTGCTCTCTGCCCACTTGTGCAGGTGGACACACTCAGAACTAAAGGGCTCTTAGAGTCCATAGAAACCAACCCCCACATTGGAAAGAGAAGGGCTGGGCTGAGAGCTATTTATATTTATCCTAGGACATCAGAGCCGAGCGGGCTCTTAGAGCAGAAAATCTAGCTAGAATAGAGACCATCAGGTTACAAGGAGCCCTAGAACAGTGGGACTTTAGAACACAGAATGTCAGAGATGAGAGATCTTTAAAGACAGGGTGGCAATCAGGGTCCCACAGCTAGTAAGTGTCTGAGGCTGGATTTGAACCCAGGTCCTTCTGACTACAGGGCTGGTGCTCTAACCACTGCGCCACCCAGCCACCCCATATGGGATATCAATTCTAAAAGGACTTTAGCACATATAACATAGGCCATCAGAGCTAGGAGTGATCTTAGAATAGGAATGTCAGAGTTCGGGACAGGGATCTTCCAGGCTACTCATTAACTCCTATGGGGGCAACCTCTCCCCACAGTTCAAAGTATTCTATGGATCTGCACTGCGCACAAGCCCCCACTGGCATGCTTTTCTTCAAGTCAGCCAGTAGATACAATTAGCTCAAAGCAAAGGTATTAACTGAGATGGCACTGTAAGAAAAACAGCAATAAATCATTTCCCCCATAAATGTGAGGCACATTCTCCCACAAAGAACAGTGTCAGTGGGGAAAGTGGGTATATAGAGAACAGTGATACAGAATCCTTGGCTTCCTTCAAGGCTTATCTTAAAGTCACCTTCTGAAAAGGACCTTTCCTGGTCTCCCCGCCCCCACCCCCCCAAGCAAGAAAAAAAAATGCTAGTAAAAATGCTAGTACCTTTCCCTTTGAGGCTATTTTTCATCCACTCTGCTACGTAAATTGTACGCACCATTTTATGTACTTTCTGTCCCTTCCGCCCTCCCATTAGAATATAAGCTTCTCAAGGGCAGGGACTATTTTTTCATTTTCTTTGTATCCCTAACCCTCCACCTAATCCCTTATACATGTGTTGTCATTGTTGTTGCTGTTATTCGGTAGTTTCAGTCTTGTCTGAACGGAGGCCAATAGGGTTAAGTGACTGGCCCAGGGTCACACAGCTAGTTAGTGTCTAAGGCCAGATTGGAACTCAGAAAGATGAGTTTTTGCTGACTCCAGGCCACCTAGCTGTCCACCTTTAAGCAGAGTAAGTGCTGAATACATTGATTAACAGAGAGGCACGCTTAAAACAAATATATATTGTCAAGACAAATTCTGCCTCTGGCACTCTTGGACCCTGATATCCTTTCTCTTCATTTGGTGCCCTCATATTATTTCCCTTGGGTGCAGGATCTCAGCTGATAGGTCACTCAACTGGTCCCTGGCCTTGCTACTCTCCAACTACCAAAGCTAACTCTTTTTCTTTTGGGTAAGGTATTGTCTCTTGGGCTACAAAGAAAGCCAGTCAACCAGTCAGTCAATAAACATTTATTAAGTGCCTACAATGTTCCAGATACCCGCTAAGCACTTGGGATACAAATAAGAAAAAAGAAAGGCAGTCCCTGCCCTCAGAGAGCTTACAATGTAATGGGAGGTGACATGCCAAGGAAAGGAAAAGGAAAAGGGATGAAAAGGGGAAGGGGGAGATATCCCTTATCCCCCAGACAGGAGTAGTATTCCCTCTCAATGGCTGGATTCTTCTTCCATAGCTGGCTCTCTTCTCTACTGCCAAAGGTCAGCTCCTCAGAACTGCTTGCTTTCCTGACTCCAGAGTTAACAAGCTCACTTTTTGTTCATACAAGCTTGCTTTTTTGAGTCCACCATGGGAAAGCTGTCCTCTAATTCTATCAAAGAGCATTTCTTCACACCTGGTAAAGCCGAAACAAAGTGAAAACCCTTCTTTGCCCTTAGTTCAAGGCAATTATAGTTCATTGTTCTCTTAACATGCCACTGATCTTTTGGGATTTCTTCATCTGGCCAGAAAAGGTCCTAGATTTAGAGCCAGAAGGTATCTTAGAAGCCACACAGTCCAAGCTCTTCATTTTACAGGCGTGGTTTGAAGAGTTTCAATTAATAACCCAAAGTCATACAAGTAGTAAATGTCAGAGGTGGGATCTGAACCCTTGGCTTTTTACCTCAGAACCAGTGGTGTTTCCACTGTACCACAAAAAACCAATTGATCAGAGACTTGATCAACACCCACACCCATGCCCACACGTACACAAGTAAGAACTTTCTAAAGAGTCAGCTGTCCCAAGAAACAGGTGTCCATGTTAGAAGAGCATCCATTGAAAGGCGGAGGAGATTACACTCAAGAGGGACATGATAGCCATCTAAGGACTTGCTAATAAGAGTCTGAGGCCAGAGATGACCTCAGGCCTTCCTGACTCCAGGCCCAGCACTCTATCCATTTATCTACATCTATATCTATCTACCCAGCTGCCTCAAGTATAGGATGAAATAGGAGGGATGAGCCCGCCAGAGCAGGAGTCAGAGGAAAGAAGAGAAATAATAGTTGGAGTGGGTAAGGCCAACCTAGGACTTGGGCTCAGAATATCAGAAATGGAAGGGCCTTTACAAACCATTAAGTCCCATGCCCTCATTTTGATAGATGAAGAGACTGAGGTTCCAAGTCATTTGCTTACAGCTGCATAGACCATGAGTAACACCTGACTCCTAGCCTAGGGCCTTTTCCCCAACTCACAGAGGGCTCCACTCTTGCAAAAGGAGAAAGAGCCAGAGGCTGAGATGCTCTAGAATCAGGTTCTACCTTTGCTCCTGATTTCCTATGCCCTATTGAGCAAGTCAGGGACCTCTGGGGGCACTGGAGCGCATAGAGCCCCAGGCTTGGCGTCAAGAAGACTCATCTTCCTGAGTTCAAATCCAGCCTCAGACACTAGCAGTGTGACCCTGTGCAAGTCATTGGACTTTGTTTGCCTCAGTTTCCTCATCTGTAAAATGTGAGGAAGGAAATGGCAAAACCGCTCTAGTATCTTTGCCAAGAAAACCCTAAATAGGGTCACGAAGGGTCAGACACGACTGGAAAAATGACTGAACAAAAACAAATTGGGCAAGCCGCTGCCTTTTTCAGGTCTTTGATTTCCTCATCTGGCAGATGAAGGGGTTAGAGAAAAGCCCTCCTGGCTCTGGCTGACACTCCCTGGTTCTGCCATTTGGTTCTTCCCAGACCCCAGGCTCCTCTTCACCTTTCTTGCACCTGCCAAGACTCCGGCCCCTACATTTGCCTTTCCTCGGATTGGTTTCCTTGCCTCTCTTCCCCGGGACCTGGTTTCAGAATAGGGGCAGCCGGGTGAGTGAGGTGCACTGGGTTCAGTTATGAAATGGACTAGAATGTCTGGGGAAGGGCCTGCATACTAGGTCCCTGAGGACCTCAAGGTGGGTGCTCAATGTCTGGGTCATACCTGAGCAGGGGTTTATTGGAGGAGCAGGTAGAACAGAAGGTTCTCCTGGATCTGGCTGGGGTGGGGAAATGGGGACCACTGGAGGAAAAAGAATGAATTGATATAATCTATCTAACAGAGCAGCCCCTGAACCCATCAGCTCCTAAGGGACACACGAGGCCCAGGTGAGCCCTGTCTGCTCAGACTGCTCCTTCTCCATGCCCCTCTGGGCAGCCTTCTCTAACCAACCTCCTCCTCCTCTTCTTCTGCAGGTCCCAACTAGAGCCCAGGACCCAGAAAACTCAGAGCCCAGGGAGCCTCATCCAGGAAATGAGAGGCTTGGACCAGAATGATCTCTGAGGTCCCCACCCCCTCTAAAAATCAATGAGTCTGTAAGGCCAGGAACCAGGCAGAAATCCGAGACCAGGCAGGATTTGGAGCTCAGAACCCAGCATCAGAGAGGAAAAAAATCTCCTAGTCCAGTCAGTACACAGTGACTAAAGAAATTCCAAAGCCCCAAACCTAGCCAGAGTGAGTCCCGACCTAAGTCAGAGACCAGAACCCAGAAACAACTCAGAGCCCAGCCAGAAACTAGAACCTAGATAAAATCCACAGCCCAGGCAGAATATGGGGACTAGAGCCCAGGCCCGGAGACCAGGCAGAACTGAAAACCTGCAAGACCCAGAACATGGAGGCCAGGCAGAATTCAGAGAGAACTCAAAGCCCAGGGAGAGAGTTCACAGCACAGAGCCCAGAGTCCAGAGCCCAAAGAGAACTCGAAACCCAGCAGACTCAAAACCCAGATGACCTAGAACAGAGTCTAGAGCCCAACAGACCAGAACTCAGAACTTGGACTCCAGAAAGCCAATTCACTAAAAGTCCTTGATATAAGAGTGGGAGAGGCTGTGGTAAGAAATTAAATACATAAGAAAGGAGTTCTAGTGTGTATCTGTGTGTATGTGTGTGGTATGTAAAGTACTTTCTAAATCTTTAAAAAGCCATATAAATGTCTGCCATTATTATTGTTGGAAATGAGGGGGAGGGAAAGAGAGGAGAGGTCCCACCCACCCCAAGAGCCCAGTGTCCTGTGGATGAGGTCCCCTAAGTAGCCACCAGGGGTCAGCTGGACACTTGGAAGGAGGACTCCAGAGCCCCACCCCTGCTCAGGGACCCAGACTTCTCAGCCATCAAAAGGCAGGTGGCCTTTCCATTCTGACTGATTTGGTCAGGGACCTGGAATTAGAATCACAGACAGAGCAAGAAGACTTTAGACATTTATTCTAGAAGGGAAGTGAGGTGGGGTGAGTGGAAGGGACTTACCCTCAGAGGTCACAGAGCTGGTGACAGGTGGGATTTGAACCCAGGCCAATTCTTTTTCCATGAGGCCACAAGAATTAGCACACTTCTCTCAACCCATCAGAGATCCAGTTATCCAGGCTAGGAAGCGGCAGCCTGGCCCCTCAGCTCTCCCACCTGCTTCAGGCCCAGATCCAGTCATCCAGGCTAGGAAGGGCCAGCCAGCCCCTCAACTCTCCCGCCTACCTGATTGAGGCCCAGCATGCTTGATTTTGCACCCCATCCTTCCCCTTTCTTAGCTTTCCCTCCCCCTGGGGAGGGCAGGGCCACCAGGAGGAATGAGGGGGAGGGGTAAATTCCTCAGATTCCTAGAAAGGGGGAGGGAAGCAATCTGGAACTACCCCCTTCCTGCAGCCTGCCTAACGCCTAAGAGGAGCTACTTACATGCCAGAATGGGAGAGTCAGCCCAAGTCACTGGTCAGACTGGGAGAGCCCAGCTCAGATCATTGGTCAGACTGGAAGAGCACAGCCTAGGTCACTGGTCAGACTGGGAGAACCCAGCTCAGGTCACTGGTCAGACTGGAAGAGCCCAGCCTAGGTCACTGGTCAGACTGGGAGAGCCCAGCTCAGGTCACTGGTCAGACTGGAAGAGCACAGCCTAGGTCACAGGTCAGACTGGGAGAACCCAGCTCAGGTCACTGGTCAGACTGGAAGAGCACAGCCTAGGTCACTGGTCAGACTGGGAGAACCCAGCTCAGGTCACTGGTCAGACTGGGAGAGCCCAGCCTAGGTCACTGGTCAGACTGGGAGAGCCCAGCTCAGGACATTGGTCGAATTAGGAGAGCCCAGCCCAGCCCAAGTCAAGTCACTGGCCAGGCTGGAAGTGACCAGTCGATCTGGGTGCTCCTGATCCGCCAGGGAGACGGCCCCCCCCAGGGCACGGTGGGAGCGGGGACAGGATTGGACAGTGGCTGGCCAGGAGGAGGTCGAGGCTGCCTGCGGGCGGGCGGCGGTGGGAGGTCCTGGCTGGGAGCCCGGACTGGTGGGGGGGTGGTTACTTTGGGGGCCCCGGAGGAAAGCGGTGGGGGGGAGAGGCTAGGGGCGGGGCCTGGGGGCGGAGCCTCCCTCTCCGGCTCTCGAAACTGCGTCCCCAGCGAGAGAGAGAGACTCCGAGGAGCCAGCGGTGCCTTTGGCCCAGACGCCGCCTCTCCTGCAGCCAGCGGCATCATGGAGCCCCCGGGCCCGGGCCGGGCCTCCAGCCCCCGTACCCTCCCCGTCCCCGGCCGGGCCCTGCACCTCCTGCTCCTGGCGCTGCTACTCGGGGGAGCCCCAGGTAGGGGGCCAGGCACCCCAAGTCGCGGAGCGGCAGCTGGGGGGATGTATTGGAGTGGGGCGTGGGGCTTGCATGGAGAGCAATCAGAGGAAGGGGTCCCCTGGGGAGCGCTTTAGGAGGGCTGAGGGAGAACTCGAGGGATCCCAAGAGAGGGGGTCATGTGTAGGACATAAGGGGGTCCATTCTCCAGTACGGAGCTGGGGAGAGCTGGAGAAAGCCCGTAGGACAGGCGTCGGAGATCTCGGGGTGGGGACTGAGAGGAGGAGGTGGGGATAGTGCCTGGGCGGACTGGAAAGAACTCGTGGGCTAGCCCCCCCACACCCGCGCCCCGGGAACGATCAAGGGGGTGGGATGGGGGGGAGAGTCCCGAGAGGGATCGAAGGCGAGGGAGCGGAGCTGGGAAGCGGGCAGGGAGCCCCTCCGGCAGGTGCCGCCCGGGACACTAGGCAGCTCAACCGGGTGGAGACTGGGCAGGTTCTGAGATTGTATGGGGAGGAGAGAGCGGTTCTCTGCAACCTAGAGAGGGACCGGGAAAAGTTGGAGACTCTCTCATCCCCCTCCCTTCCTCTCCCCATTTCCTGGTCCCGTCCCACCCCCACATATACTCACCTGGGGGGCGGATCGGGGAGAGACCCAGAGACCCTGTGACGAGAGGGAGATGGTAAGATGGATGCAGCTGAAGGGAAGTCAGAGAGAGACAGAGAGATAGAGACACTCAGACATATTACAGAGAGGAAACAGAAGAGAGAGGCATGGTGGGCATAGTGGAAACAGAAAGCACCTCTTGGGGGGAGTAGAAACAGAGGAGGGGACAGAGGCAGAGAGAGACAAGAGAGGGCCATGGGGGGCAAAGAGACAGCCATGGGGGGACAGAGAGACATGGGGGACAGAGAGAGAGAGCCATGAAAGGAACAGAGAGACGAGAGAGAGAGAGAGAGAGAGAGAGAGAGAGAGAGAGAGAGAGAGAGAGAGAGAGAGAGAGCTGTGGGGGGGGGGACAGAGAGAGACAAGAGAGAGAGAGCCATGGGGGGACAGAGAGAGACAAGAGGGAGCCATGGTGGGGGGGACAGAGAGAGGAGAGAGAGCACCATGGGGGGGGACAGAGACAACACAGACAATTGTGAGGGGAGGCAAAGAGACAAGAGAGAGCCATGGGTGGGGGGGAGGCAGAGGCAGAGAGAGCCAGGGGGGGCAGACAGACATGAGAGGCCCAGAGACAGAGAGACACAGAAACAGGGGAAGAGCAAGAGAGAAGTGCAGATGTAGAGACAGAGAGACAGAGGGACACAGAAGAACCCAGAGACGGAGACAAGTGTGGAGAGGCCAGGGGCCACAAAGCCCCTGGGTCCTTTTCTCCAGCCCCAAAGCTGGCTGTGTTGCTGGGCCCCTGGGCCCCAGAGTCCCATGTGCCCAGTGCCCAGCCTCCTTGGAGCGCATAGGCCCTCTGCTTCTTCTCCTGCCAGCCATCACTCAGCAGATCCTAAGCCCCTGGGGCTGGGTGGGGCCTGGCAAGGAGCTAGAAGGGCAGCACTATGTGGGATGCCCTCCCTGAGGGCCTGTGTTTCTCTCCATGTACCTGGCCCTGTCTCCTCCTTCAGACCAGTATTCTCAGGGACCCTCAGCTCAGGCTCTCAGTCCCCCTTCCCCTCAATGACCCAAGCTACTGACTCTTCAGCCACCTCCCTTAGGGCAAGGACCCAGGAATTCTCAGCCCCTGTAGGCCTGGGCACCTGAGCTCCACAGTTCTCCCATCCCTTCAGGGACCCAGGCATCTGGGCACCCAGTCCCTATTCCCCTCAGCATCCCCCCATTCCTTCTCAGGACCTCCTTTTCCCTTTTTATGACTCATCTCTCCCCACTCCTCCCCTCCCAGAGGGATGAAAGAAGAGGACTTGATGGGGGGGGCAGAGGAAGGGGCTGTGCCATGCTGAGGCAGGTCTGGGCTGGCCCCACCTCTCCTACATTCCTGAAACCTGCCCAGCCCTGTCCCCCCCTCATCTACCTCCTTCTCCCTTCTCCAACTGCCCCCCTGCTCCCAGGAGGCCACAAATAGGGGGCTGCCTCTCTAGGCACTAGAGACCCCATAGAGGCTGAGAAACGAAAAAGATCTGGGAGTCATAGAGACATCAGCCTAAAAGGTCCATCAGACGTGAAGAAGCTGGAGCAAATGGACCGAAAGACTAAGAAAGCTAGTCTGAGACACACCCAGAGACTGAGAGACACAAAGAGAAAGACCCCAACAGGAAGAGATTCAGAGAGATCCAAAGAGAAAGACTTGCGAATGGGAGAGGAGAGCCAGTTACTCTGCCCCTTTTCACTTCTCTCCTCCCTTTAGTTTGGGTGGGTTGGACACCTGATGGATACCTCATTCCCCTTAACCACCAGGGGCAGGGCTGGGAGAGCAGGATACCTGGGTTCGTGAGAGGACAGGAGCTGAGGGATCAGGAGACTTGGGACCCTGACTGATGGCGAAAATCCAAACATGAGACCAGCAGATCTCTGGGTCTTCCTCTCCCCCCCGACCAGGTGCCCAGACTGAGACACAAGTGTCAGCACCCCGCTTGGTGGAAGTCATGAAAGGGGAGCCAGTGACCCTGAACTGCTCTCTCTCTGGGGCTGGAGGCAAAGAACACTTAGCACTGCAGTGGCTTGTTGTGAGTAACCAATGTGGAGGGAAGGCCTACAGAGCTAGTTAGATGATTGGGGGCCAGAGATAGAAGGCGAGAAGGAGCAATGTGCAGTGAAGAAGGGAAGTGATTGAGAGACAGAATCAGAGATAGATGAGACAGAGGAAGAGGGAGGAACTGAGAGGGACCTAACACCCGGAAACAAGCAGAAAGAAGGCTGGGGAGAGGGAACCAGAAAGCAGACGGAGGAAGGCCAAAAGAAGAGAGAAAAGCGGGGCTCGGGGCTCACTGTCAGACACCCCGAACCCCTTCTTTCCTGGTGCTTTCCCCACAGACAGATCGCTGGGGAAACACCTCTCCCCTGGTCTTTGCCGTGGGAAGAATGGGAGCTCTGAAGAGAAGTGGGGACCCCAGGGTAAAGCCAAGCATGCCCTTTCAACTGCATCCCAACGGGTCCCTGCAACTGCTCTCTGCTGAGATGGGGGACGAGCGGGACTACACGTGCCAAATCCTCAATGGGACAGCAGAAAAGGCACAGGCCACCAGCCACCTCCGAGTCTTAGGTGAGTCCCCAAGCTCTTCTGGGAAGAGAGAGAAAGAGGGTGGCTGACCAGGGGCCAGAGCAAAATGCCAGTGGAGTGGGCAGAGAAACAGACAGAGGGAAAGAGAGATGGTCAGTGAGGGAGAGAAAGCAGAGAAAAGAGGCGGCTGAGAGAAAAAACCCCGGGGGTGCGGAGGCAGGGAGACAAGACTGGTGGGGAGAGAGAGACGAGCCAAGTTCTTGTGTGGATAAGGGTGGGGTAGAGGAAGAGAACATTTCCCACTGACGGGACCCCCTCCTCCCCATCCACTGCAGTGGCCCCCGAGCCTCCTGAGGTCATACCCAACAAGGGAACGATTTCAGTGGTTGACGATAAAGCTCATGAGGTAGGAGAGCCCCAGCCAGAAGAAACAGGCCTTGCTTAAGGGCCAAAACTCCTGGGTCCCTGGGGAAGGGGGGCACCTGGGGCTCTGGTGGGGCAGAAGCAGGGGGGCCCAGACACTCAAATCCCACAAACCTGATGGTCAGCCTTCCCCCGCCCAGATAGCCACCTGTACCAGCCGAAATGCCAATCCTGCCCCCAACATCACTTGGTACCGGGATGGGGAGGCCCTGGAGATCCCCACGGAGCTGAACGGGGGTGAGCTTCAGAGACCCCGGGGGGTGGGAGGTGGGGGTGAGCTTCAGAGACCCCGGAGGGTGGGAGGTTGGGGTGAGCTTCAGAGACCCTGGGGGGTGGGAGGTGGGGGTGAGCTTCAGAGACCCTGGGGGGGTGAGAGGTAGACAGAATGGGAGGAAGAGACTTTGTCCAGCACAGGGGATCCCTCTCCTGATAGAATTTAGAACCAGAACTCAGAGGCCATCTGGTACAACCAAGTCATTTTATAAGCAAGGAAACTGAGGTTCAGAGATTTCCTACAGGTAGGAGCTAGGGAAAAGATCAGAGGCAGCGGGCAAGCCTGACGCTCTCCCCTCCCCACTCACTCTGCCAGTCAAAGGGATGCCTGGGGACCACCTTCTATGGGGGGAAGGTCGGGCCGAGGTCTGACGGAACCCCCATCATCCTGTCACCCCCCCAGAGCTATATGCTGTGAGCCGCACTGTCCGAGAGGCCTCTGGGCTCCACTCCCTCACCAGCATCCTCTACCTTCGGCCCAAGAAGGCCGATCGTGATGTCGCCTTCCACTGCAGGGCCACCTACCATCTGCCCAATGGCCAGCAGGGCCAGCAAGATGCCGCACCCTTCTATCTCACGCTGCACTGTGAGCACTTTGACCCCTGACCTCTGCCCCCCAACCACCGACACACAGGACAGTGGCCAGCTTCTGACCCCTGACCTGACAGTGCATCACATAGTATGTCAACCTCTGCCCCCTTTGCCATAAGCTTAATCCCTGACCTCTGACCCCACCTACTAAGCCCTATTCTGTGACCCCTGACTATAGCCGAGTGGGCAAGACTCAGGCCCCTGACACTGGGGAGTGCCTCAACCACTGACCTGACCCTGCCCTCTGGACCCCCTTTGGATATCTGGTCCAATCCTTCACCTCACCAACCCAAGCCTGCCTTCTGACCCCTAATGAGTGCTTACCCTCCTCCCACACCCCCACAGACCCTACAGAGAACGTACAGTTCTGGGTGGCCAGCCCAGCAGCCCCTGGAGGCTGGGTCCGCGAGGGGGACACCGTCAGCCTGCTTTGTCGAGGAGACGGCAACCCAACCCCTGAGTACATCTTCACCCTGAAGCAGGTACCCCTCCCTCCCCCCACCTCTTTAGAGCCCAACCTAGATAAAACAACACTTGATTCCCTCTGTCGGAGTAATCTCGACACCTTCTCCTGAGATCCCCCCAATTCCCTGCCCTGGGAGTATCATTTCTCCTGCCTTCAGCCCTCTTTTTCTCTTGCCCCAGGAAAACCCTTGACCCTGAGTCCTAGAGGAGCCCCAGTGCCCAGGGATAGCTCCTGACATCGAGAGTCGGGCTGGCTTCCCACCAGATATCTTACCCACTGAGGGAGCGGAGGGCATGGGGACACATTTCTTTTCCTTGTCTTTACCAGGGAAAGAAAGAAGAAAAGTCACTAGAGACCAATACAAATGGCACGCTGACACTTGGGAGAATCTCCCGGGACCAGAGCGGCCTCTACCAGTGTGAGGTAGCCGATTTTGATGCCGATCCCGAGGTGGAGCTGACCCAGAAGTTGGAGATCCATGTGGGATGTGAGCAGGAGCAAAGAAGGGGGATCCAGGAACGGCCACAGGCCCCAGAGCTGGGGTCTCTCCATGCCTCTTTCTCTTCTCCCCTCTTATCAAACATGTCGTTTGTGTGTGACTCAAGACCCCATTTAGGGTTTTCTTGGTTTCCTTCTCCAACTCTTTTGACAGACGAGGAAACTGAGGCAAACAGGGTGAAGTGACTTGCCCAGGGTCACACAGCTAGGAAGTGTCTATGGCTAGATTTGAACTCAGGAAGATGTCTTTCCTGACCCCCAGGGCTAGCGCTCTATCCTCTTACATGCCGCTGAAATTAAAAGGATTAAATCTGACAATTGATAAAGCCCTTCTCCCTCTGAGATTCAGTGATCTTAAGAACCCCAGGCATCTCCCCATCAACTCTGAGTAATAATGCAGCAGCTTCTGTTGGTAGAGCACCATTTGCAGAGCCTTTTATTTTTATTTTTTTTAGGCAATTGGGGTTAAGTGACTTGCCCAGGTTCACACAGCTACTAAGTGTCAAGTGCTTGGTCTGAGGCCGGATTTGAACTCAGGTCTAGCTGCCCCCCATTTGCAAAGTTTTTTGCACACATGTTTGATCCTCGCAGCAACCCTGGGATTACTATTGCTACTATTACTTGGGGCTATTACTATCTCCATTTTACAGATGAGGAAACTGAGGCAGAGAGCTTCAGAGATTTGCCTAGGGAGGGTCATACAGCTAGTAAGTATGGGAGGCAGGATTCAAACTCAGGTCTTACTGACACCCAGTTCAGTGCTCTTTCTACTAGAGCACACTGCCCATCTCTTTTAAGGCAGGCTTTGAAGGCTCTGAGGGTCTTATTCATTGGCTTCATCTCTCCATCCATAGACCCCAAGAACAAGGACACCCTTTCTAGCCCCCTCCCCAAAAGGTCTAGCACAGTGAGGAAGAGCCACCAAAGGCAGTATGATGAAGAAGGGAAGAGAAGGGGGAGGGGAGGGGAGGGGAGGGCGATGACTTGTCTCCACCTATCTGTCTCTCTCTCTCTATCTCTTCTTTCCTCTCCTCTCTTTCTCTCACGTCTCTCTTCCTTCTCATTTTCTCCTCTCTCTTGCTCTCTCTCCTCATCTCTTCTTTCTCTGTCTCTCTCTCTCCCCACCGACTTCTCACCTTACACTTTCCTTTATATCGTCTCACCTTCCAGACCTGGACCCCCTGGAGCTGAGCCCTGGGGAGAATGTGACATTGTCCTTAGGGGACACCACGGAGCTGGGCTGCTTGGCCTCTGGGGACCCAACCCCCAAAGTCCTCTGGATGAAGGTAAGGCAGGAGGCCCCACCCTGTCCCACTGGCTCCTCAGCCCTGGGTCTGTGCCCTACGAATGCTTCCCCTCCCCCCCCACCTCACATACTCTCTTTCTCACTCTTTGCATCTCTCTGTACCCCAGGATTCCATCCCCCTGGACCAGGGTCCCCACTTCACTCTCACCAACGTCTCCTTCAACTCAGCTGGTATCTATACCTGTGAGGCCTCAGTGCCCAAGCTGCCTGGGCTCACCAGGTCCCGGACCCTGCAGCTGCTTGTGCAGGGTAACCCCAGGGCATGGAGAGAGGGTGGGGAGCAGACGGGAAGGGATCCTGGAACCAGCAGAGAGGAGCCGGGAGGGCCGCAGGGCCCTGCACTTGTGCTAACTATCTCTTCATTTCTTCCTGTGTTTCTTTACCTTGTGACTCCCTCTCTTGGTCTTTCTCTCTGCCCCCCTCGTTGCCTTCTCTTCTTCCCCTGGCCATGTCTCTCTTCCTTGATTCTCTCCTCTGCCTCTCTGTGTATCTCTGTGTGTCTCTTTCCTTCTCTACCTGTCCCTTTCTATCTCTCTCTATTCCCTTCTGGCTCTATCTCTGTTATTTCCCCTTTCTCTGTCTCTCTTCTCTGGCTGTTTCCTTGTTTCTGTCTTTCCATACACACACACACACACACACACCCATCTAGGTGGACCAGAGCTGAAGCCAGAGGAGATGCGGCCTCAGGGCAGCAGTGGCTGGACAGAAGGGGATGAGGTGACCCTAACCTGCTCTGCCCGGGGACACCCAACACCAAAGCTGAGCTGGAATCATGAAGGGGAACCAGTAAGAGATTTTCCCCGACATCACCCCTGAATCCCCTGCCTAAGGGCTCCAGCATCTGGGGGCTGCCCCTGAGGAGCCTGAACCCTCAGGAACCCAGGTGTCCTAACTATCCCCGACCCCACGGGGACATAAGCATGGGGCCCCCCAGCCTCCTGACCTCTGCCCCTCACAGGTAAACAGAATCATCAGTGGCTGGGTTCAGAGCTCACTGAAACTGAAGGTGATGGGGACTGTGGCCAGGGAGGGGGTCACCTGCACGGCCTCCAACCACCTGGGTCATGACCAGCATACCTTTCACTTTGAGGCAGGTGAGCCTACCTCCCTGAGGGCAGGGGACAGCGGCCTCCTTTGAGGAGGGGCTGCCTGCTGACCCCTCACCCTCTCTCACAGTGGCCTCGCAGGCCCCCCAGGCAGGGGTGGCCGTGATGGCGGCTGCAGTCAGCGTGGGGCTGCTCCTTCTGGTCGTAGCTCTTTTCTACTGCATGCGTCGGAAGGGCCGGTGCTGTCGTAGCCGGGAGAAGGTGCCCCCGTGAGTGTGCCCACCTGACTTGTCCCTTCTGACCCTGACCCTCATCATCCATTCAGTAAGCGCCCCTCATAGGCCAGGCGGGGGTCTGGACTCAGGGTGGGGGGGACCACACGAATACACATAAATAAATATAACCTCTATGACAAAATAAATCCATAGAGATTTCAGGGGTGGGAAGGAGGACTATCAAGGGGGAGGGGGCAAAATGGGGAGATGGCATTGGGGCAATGAGAAATCACCAGAGACTCTCAGAGAAGGCTGTACTTGGGAGGAAACTAGCGATGACAAAAGCCAGAGAGGGGAGGGAGGACATCCCAGATGTGGGGTACAGCCCAGGCAAAGGCAGAGTCTGGAGACAGAATGCAGTAAGGGGGCTTTGGGATCCTGACTGTCTCTGGCACCTGCTTCATTCCTGACCTTCACCTCCCTTTTGTTCGACCCCTGGCTCATCCCCACCTAACTGAGAGTTCTCAGACACAGATCTGGTCCCTGGACCTTTCCTGATGCCTGTTCTTGACCACTGTCCCCTTTCTCTCTTATCTCCCAGGCTGCCCCCTGAGCCGGAGCCGAGCCGTCCTGGCATGGATCGCCCAGAGCAGACAGGCCTACTGTCAGGAGGTGGAGGAGGGGGCGGCAGCCGAGGAGGCCATAGCTTTGGGGATGAGGTTAGCGTCCAGGGGTCTAGCTCAGGGAGGGCTGTGGGGGAAAGGGGGGGACAGTCTCCTAACCTCAGGCCTTCTGTTTGCCCTCCCGCAGTGCTGAGCCTCAGGACTCTGATGCGTCCTCAATCCCGCCTTCAGTCTTTCACCAGACTCAGAGAAAGCTGTTTGCAGGTGGTGGGAGCAGGGGAGTACCCTCTATCTGGTCCCAGCCACCCCTTCCCCCACCGCTTCCTTCCCCTGCCTGAGACTTGGGATATGGGATAGCGCCTAGGCTGGCCCGCCCTTCAGAGATGAGAATCTCCTTCCCCCAGCCCCTGAAATATCCCTTGGCTTCTGGCCTGGGGCCTGGCCCTGGGGGGAGGGGGTCAGTGGAGGGAGCTATTTATACCAGCCTCTGAGGTCTACTCTCCCTCCTTCTACTCTATAGTCTGACACTGGATCCCTGCCCACCCCCTCACCCTTCCTTCACCTTGGTCAAAAACACTGGAGACTAAATAAAGACCGTCCAACAGCCCACCCACTCCCCCAGCCTAGTCTCTGAACTTGCTGCCGGGGGGGCCCTTGGGAAAGAGTGGGAGACACAGCCTGCCTCGCCTGTTCCGGACCCCACTACCCCACCTCCATCCCCAATCCCCGGAAACAGCTGACCAGCATTGGAAGGAAATGAAACAGGGAAAGTTAATGAGGTCGGGTCCGGCTGGGAAGGAGGGTGGGGGGGGATGGGATGGGCACCTAGGCCGCTGCCTGAGGCAGGGGAGGGTGTGTCTTTGTAAGGGCTGTAAGCAGGTTTACACCACTGAGCCGGAGAGGCCAGAAGACTGATAGAGTGAAACGTTCCCGCAGCTGCTGGTTAGAGGGCCCTGGGGAGGAAGCTGGAGACCAAGTTAAGCATGGAAGGAAAAAAAAGGGACAAGGAAATAGTGAAAGGGGTGGGGTAGCCCAACGTCATGGGAAAACTCAGGGCATGGGACAGGACCGCTGGCTTCAAGTACCAAGTCTGTCCCAGCATGGAGTGTCCTGGAGCAAACCGCATCTGCTCTCTAGCTCTCCATTCCCCCATTTGTTAAATGTTAGAGTCTCCCAGCTCTGCAGCTCTGACATTCCCCATTCTAAAATCTCCTCCCAGCTCTTACATTCTAGGTTCTAAGGTTCCTTCCCAGCTCTGACATTTTTAGGTTCTAAGTTCCCTTCCAGTTCTCTGATATTCTCTGCTCTAAAGGCCCTCCCAGCTCTCTGACATTCTCCATTCTAAGATTCCCTCCCACCAAGGCCACCAAGGTGACTACATTCTAGGTTCTAGGATTCCCTCCCAGCTCTGACGTTCCATGTTTTAAGGCTCCCTCCCAGCTCTTACATTCTAGGTTCTAAGGTTCCCTCCCAGCTTTGACATTTTAGGTTCTAAGCTCCCTTCCAGTTCTCTGATATTCTCTGTTCTAAGGCCCTCCCAGCTTGGACATCCTGTGTTTCTTCTGAGGGACTTTCCAATTCTGAGACTGGTTTTACCAGATAAACAAACCAAAACAATTAGATACATAGAAAAAGTATATGAGAAAGAAACACAAAACCATTAAGAAACAAAGGCAAATTGAGATCCCCATTCCCTTGCTCTGTTCCTTTCTTGCTGTGTGTCCTTTTCCCTTTCGGGTGTCTCAATTTCTCTAAAATGAAGGGGATCAGGTCACCTCGGGAGGACGGGGCTTGGTTCTGGGTAGCACAAAAGCTGGCCAGCATGAAGACAAGACCTGCTTGGCCAGACTGAAAGGATCGGGGCTGTTTAGCCTGGGGAAGAGAAGGATTGGGGAATATTAGGACTGTCTTCAAGGATCTGAAAGGCTGTCCTCTGGAAGAGAGCTCAGCTCTACTCCGTTTGGCCCAGAGAGCAGAGTGAGGAACAATGGGAGGAAATTAACATGAGGCCAATTTGGGAAAAGCTTCTGAACATTGAGATCTGTCCCAGCTCTGGGAGGTAGGAGGCTCCGCCTCGGGGGGGGGAGGGGGGGTGAATCAAAGATTCGTCTTCCATCCAGGGCAGCCTCGATCACCCCTGAGCTGACTACCAGATACTGAAGTCTGGAATTTCAAGTAAGTGGTCTTAAGGCTCTAAGACTCTGTGCTGGGAGACAGAGATGGGAAATCTCAGGCCAAAGGAGAGAGGTTGATGGAAAGACAGAAAGAAGCTGAGGAAGGGGGAGAGACCCCCAAAGGGAGAGAGCCAGAAACTCCGCTGGACAGAGGAGACAGTCTGGGGGCAGATGGGCAGACTGGGATCTGAAGGAAGACAGATGGCAGGAGGTGGAGGAGAGTCACATGAGACACCCCCCCACATACACCGAGCACACCCCAATGGACAGTCAGAGGGTATCCCGCCCAGCACCTGCTCCCAGCTAATAAAGGGAAGCCCCAGGCTCAGTCCCCAGCAGGAGAACGGCATCTATTTGCATATGGCCTGCTTTATTTGCATAACGTCCAGTATAGTTTATATTCAGACACAGAATTCCCTTCCCCCTGCATGTCCTTCCAAAAAAGAAATCCTAGATTCTGGGAGCCCAAAGGGCCCCATTTTATAAATGATGGGAAACTAAGGTCCTGAAAAGGGTAGGGATTTGAACCAGGTCCGAGCTCAGATGGAAGTGTCCTAAATCACAGCCCAGGGCTCTTCCCACACAGCCTCAATGAGGGTTAGGCTGTTTGGCTGGAAAGGAAGATGAGAATGGTTCGGTTCAGAATGTTTGTGCCTCTTCACCTCCCACAGACATTCTTAGCCTCACTTTCTTTAACTGTACAAAGAGAGACGACTATTCGTAAAGTTAACTTCCCAAGGCTGTTGTGAAGGAGGTGTCTTGGACTTCAAAATGGCCAAAAAATTGAGAGCAGGGCTGGAGGTCTTTGGGTACAGGTGTGGCCAACACCACCTCACACCACAGATGACCCCACTGGGCAGCCACCCTTTTCTCTTCTCAGTGACCGCAGGAATGTTAAGAGGAGCGTGTAGGAGAGGGACAGAGCTTCTCAATGCAGGAGAGGCCAGGACAGGAAGTCCAGAGACCAGCTCTGCCCCTACTTTAATGTGTAACCCTGTGCAAATCCCTTTTCCTCTGGACTCCAGGGTGCCCATTTGTAAAATGGAGAGATTACAATAGATGGTCTCTTATATCAAAGATCCCTTCTTTATCCAACATTCTGGATTCTTTGTATTAAGGTTTCTCCCAGCCCTGATATTCCCTGTTCTAAGGTCCCTCCCAGCTCTGACACACTCTGTTCTACAGGCAGAGTGGATTGAGACAAATTGAGACAGTAACATAATCAGAGACACTGAGTCAGAAGAAAGTCCAGATAATCCAATTCAGTTCTCTGAACCACCCTCCTACCCACCCTCCACTCTCAAAACAAATCTATCTGAACCTATTGATAAAAAAGCCCCAGTTGAAGAGATATAAAGTGGTTTTGATACAAGAACTATCATTCCTCAAATAAAGAGCCTCAGACTTGAGAGTCAGCTGACCTGGGTTCTCTCTTGTTAGCTGTGTGACTCAGAGCCAGTTCCTTCCCCTCTCTGGGCCTCAATTCCCCCTCCCCACCCCAGATGAGGGAGTTGGATTTCAGTGGTCTGTGCCAGCCCTGTTCTGTGTCTTTGACAAAGAGAAATCCCATCTCAGGCTTCAGCACTGGAGAGATAAAATGGGGGTGGTGGATAGAGAGGGTTTAAATTGGCAAAGCCAGTACTTGAACCCAGCTCCTTTGACCCAGCATCCAAGCACGCTTTCCATTGTGGTGCAAAGCCTAATGGGTCAGAGACGAAGAATGAGTAACAGAGATAACAGGTGATCGAGACTGAAAGAGACACCAGGAGAGAGACATAAGGTCAGAGAGATACATAGAGGTGTGGAGGCAATATCAGAGAGATGGTCCCAGAGGGAAACAAGGAGACACCAAGACCATGGCTGAGAGTGATTCTAAATTCGAGGGGCACCATGGGAGAAGATCATCCGTCCAAACCAACACACACACACACACACACACACACACACCGGGCAGTCCATCTTTCCCACAACCCGCTGGCTTGCTCCACAGACCCGGTGGGAGAACCAAGGCCAGCGTGGGGGTAGGACTGTGCTGCCCCCTTGTGGGGCTGGGAGCAACTGCAGTCTTCTGAACAGTTCCTTGAGAATCCCCAGGAAAATCTAGAGTCAAGAGGACTTGGGGAAAGACCTAGGTTGTCTACAACCTAGATAGGAAGACTCCCAGAGAAGCAAAAGGGTGGAAAGAGTCTGGCAGAGAATTTACCCAGGAGGCATTTGGAGCGCAAAGCCAGACTGGAAGAAGCAGTCCCTGAGGCTTGGGGAGCTAACCAGTTTATTATCTGTGGGCTGGGGAGGGTTTTAACTTTGAGCTCTAAGCTTTTAAAAGCCTTTATACAAATTATCTGAAATTTGAAGCTCACTACAACCCTGTGAGATACATGTTATTGTTATCATCACCCCCATTTTGTGGGTGTGGAAATGACTGAGGCTTAGGAGGGTCAAATTACTTAGCAAGGGTCACACATTGAGTAAACAAGTATTTATCAGAGGCCAGATCTGAAGGCTGGCCTTTCGGACTCCCAGTCCAGCTTTCTAGTGAAATACAAAGTGGGGGGAGGGAGCGGGTCCAGGACTCTCAGGACAGGTCAGAAGGGAGAACACATTCCCAGCTGGGGAGGTGGGAGTCAGATGAGGATTCATGGAGGATGTGGCTGGCATCCCTGCTGAGCTCGGAATGAAGGAAGAAGCTCAGTCAGAAACAGAGAGGCACATAGACACAGAGACATTTTGCAGAGATAGGAGAGACATGCTCAGAGAGACAGGGAACTCACTAACCAATTTATTTTTTTTAAGAGGTATAAATTTAGAGTGAGAAGACCTGGATTCAAATAACGCTCTGCTGTTTTCTACCTTTGGGACTTTGGGTAAGTTTCTCTGGGGCTCGGTTTCCCCAACATAAAATAAGAGAGTTGGAACAGTGGATTGTTAAGGATTCTTCCAGCCCAAAATCCTATGGCACTGATAAGTTGGGAGCCGAGACAAGTGAGGTTGGATACGAAAGGGGATGGAGGTTCTGGAAGAATCTGGTCAGGGGCTGCAAAGCTTAGAACAAGGGTGGGGAACCTGCATGTGGCCCTCTAGGTCCTCAAGGGCAGCCCTTTGACTGAATCAGTCTGAATGAGTGGTTTTGTGAAGTTTGAGTTCAGTCAAAGGGCCGCCCTTAAGGACCTAGAGGGCCACATGTGGCCTCGAGGCCAAAGGTTCCTCACCTCTGGCTTAGACTAAGCTAAGGATGGTGGGGAGTTTTCTGGATCAAAGAAAGGCCCTTTTTTTTTTTAAAGCTATGTTGGAAACAAGAGGAAGATAAAAGAAGGGATAGGAAGGCTGAGATACTAGTGTTGGTCAACATAGAATGGGCAGGGCTAATTCAATGCATCTTTTGCTCCTGCTTTCTCTGACAAGAAGAATCATTTTTGGATAAGGAGAGAACAAAAATGCTTTGCTGAGATTTGAAAGCAAATGGCAGGGAGACGTTAGTGAGTTGCCTTTAAGGAGTGATAATCACTGGTCCGAATGAGCTACGTCCCAGGGGATTGAAATAACTGGCAGGTATCTGTAGGGTTCAGAGCCAGAAAGAGGAAGAGGTATGAAGGCAAGAAGGAAATGAAGGCAGCAGATGAGATTCCGCATCCACTGAAGTACTGAGGTGTAGATGAAAAATAGAGGCACACAAGCCGAGAACTGTAGACTGAGACACCCATTCCACAGAGAGACAGACTGAGACCTGCCCAGAAAGATACATAGAGACAAAGGAGACACAGTTGCACAGACCACAGAGATTAGACACAAATAAAGAGAGAGAGATGCTGAGATCTAGATCCAGAAGCCGAGAAGGCGGAGAAAGACTCTGGGCTGAAGAAGGCGTCGCTTCCCTCGTGGGGACTGGGAGAAGGAGGCACAAACCCTTGGGATAGGGCGCGGAAAAGAGACCCGGGGAAGGGGAGGGGCTGATGCCTGGAAGGGCATAGAAGAGAAGCAGCCTAGTGGGGAAACCTGGCAGCGTGGGCGGGGCCACCGAGGGGTGTGGTCCAGGAGGGAAAGGCCCTGGAGGGGGCGTGCCTAGAGTCCAGAGAGCAGCAGGGATGAGCGGCTCCGAGGGCTCGGCTTGGCTGGGGGTGGGGAGAGGACGGAGCGCCGGGAGGGGACGGAGGGAAGGGGAGGGGAAGGGTCCCCTCCTCCGGTGACGTCAGAAAGGCGGCTAGGTGTCCGCGGCCGGAGCTGCCCCAGCGGGAGCCGAGGCTCCGGAGCTGGAAGGGAGTAGCCCGGGGAACCGGACCCACGGACTCGCGGACACGGACACGCAGCCTTCCCTGGCCCGGGCCCAGAGCCCCGGGCCGCCCATGGCCCGGCCCACCGCCCTCCCGCTGTTACTGCTCTTGTTCCTGGGGACCGGTAAGGATCCGGGGGGCCGCGATCCCTCCCGAGACCTTGGCCCCTCGCTATGTGCCATCCTCCCCCCTCCCCCCGCTCCGCACCCTTGGGACCCCGGGCGATCCCCTCCTTTCCCCTCCCCCCAGCCCCGCCCGTCTGCCTTCGCCTCTCCTGCTCTCCTGGACTCCCTGGTAAACCAAGATATTCCCCCCCAACCCCTGACCCAATGGGTCTCCCTACCCTTTCGTGTGCTTCCTCCCTCTCCTCGGCTCTCATGACCCTAGTTCACTAGCCTTCGGGGGATCCAGGAGTCCGGTTTACCCAGACCAATTGGGTCCTTCTCACCCTCCCAGGACCCAACCCCCCCACCCCACGTAGCATCTTAAGCCTTGAGGACCCCGGACTCCTCACACTGGCTCCACCCTCCTCTATTTCCTCCCCCCCCGCCTCGGTCTCGAGCGTCTGACCCCTCCTCCCTTCGCGTTTCTCCATCCTTTTCTCCTGAGCTCGGGCAGCCCTGTACCCGAGCTGTGTGCGAGGGTTGATCCCTCCCTTGTCCATTCGGCATTCCTCCGTCTGGTGCCCTCATCCCCCACCTGGGCCCCCAGCTACACCCCCTTTCCTCCCCCCTTCTTCTCTTTCCCGTCCTGGTGAGGAGAGGGTTAACTCGAGCGGGGTCTGCTTCAGCCGCGCCCCCGCCCCCCGCGCGTTCCCCTGGAATGTAGGGAATGTGCTCCTGGGGGGAGGGGAGAGACGGAGACCCTGGCCGGGCGCCCCCTCCCCACCCCCCACCTCTGCCGCCAGCGCCGGCTAGACTCCTGGGTTCCTAGAAGGCTGGGTTGGGGGTTGGACCAGATTCCTAAAGTACCCGATCGGGAGGGCTGGGCACCTGGGCCTCCTAAGGGGGCGAGACACCTGGCTTCCGTCGCGGGGCCGGGGGGGGGATGTGATGCCGGAATTCGTGGGGTTTGGAAGCTGTTTGGGAGCTGCAGGGAAAGCAGGCGCGAAGAAAATTGAGGGCTCTTGGCCCAAGCCGGGGAAAGGCCGGGCGCTGGGCCATTCATTCCCACTGCAACTTTCCTGGGTTTCACTTTCATCGAGAGTAGTCCAGACGCGCTCCCCACCCCCAACCCCCCACCCCCCCATCCCTTCCCTTTCGGCTGGGCCTATGGTTTCCAGCCCCTCGGCTATTCCGATTTCCTTGGCTCCGGGCATTATCTCCTACCCTATCTCCCCTCCACCCCTTCTCGGCGGTCTTTGTCCTAGAGAGCCTGGGGGAGTAGAGTCTGGGGCGTGCTTTATCCTCTGCCCCTCCCCCTCCTCGCTCTGGAGACCCCGGCTGGGGGGGAGGGGCTAGTGTGCCTATGCAGGTAGTGCTGGCGCGCTGCGGTCTCTCCTTCCCCCTCAGGTGACTGACCCAGCTATTAATCTTCTGCTTGGGTGGAGGAGGACTGGGCCCGGGGTGCCCAGAATGGAAGGAAAGTTCCACCCTACGCAGCTACCTGTCAAGTCATTTATTACGGGCCTACTATGTGCCACTGTGCTAAGGACACAAAAAGAGGCAAAAGACGGTTCCTGTTTTCCAGGAGCTCAGTCTAGCAGGAGGCGAAGTACATGCAAACAGCTAGGGAGATGGCCAGCGAAAATCCACTGAGCCTAGGGAGATGTATGTAGCTTTAAGGAACAGCAAAGGAAGCCAGTATCACTGGGGGGGGGGGGCAGGTGGTGAGTTCCCCAAACAACTAGGAAGCTAGGAAGGAGCCCGATTAGGAAGGGCTTCCGATGCCAGAAGCCGGTTTTGTTTTGGATCAGGAGGTAATGGGGAGCCACTGTAGTTTCTTGAAGAGGGGAGTGACGGAGTCAGATCTGCACTCTAGAACGATTCCTTTGACAGCTGATTTAAGATGGACTGGAGTGGTGAGAGCCTTGAGACAGCAGAAACTACTACCACTAGCCCTCCCAAGCAGAGCCCAAGAGGGAGGTGATGAGGGCCGACCCTGGGTGGTGAGCGTGTAGGAGAGAGATTATTTAGCAAGATCTCTCAATAATATTCTGTCTCTTCAATTGTATTGTGCCTTCTAGGTTCAGAAGGCCCTGCCCTGACATTCTCTGCCCTAAGGCCCTTCCCAGCTCTGACATTCTCTGTTGGAAGGGTGCTTCCAGCTCTGACACTCTGTGTTCTAAGGGCCCTCCCAGCCTTGACATTCCCTGTTCTAAGGGCCCTCCCAGCTCTGACATTCCCTGTTCTAAGGGCCCTCCCAGCTCTGACATTCCCTGTTCTAAGGGCCCTCCCAGCCTTGACATTCCCTGTTCTAAGGGCCCTCCCAGCTCTGACCTTCCCTGTTCTAAGGCTCTTCCCAGCTCTGACATTCCCTGTTCTAAGGGTCCTCCCAGCTCTGACACTCTGTGTTCTAAGGGTCCTTCCAGCCCTGACATTCCCTGTTCTAAGGGCCCTCCCAGCCCTGATATTCCCTGTTCTAAGGGACTTCCCAGCTCTGACATTCCCTGTTCTAAGGGACTTCCCAGCTCTGACATTCCCTGTTCTAAGGGCCCTCCCAGCTCTTATATTCCCTCCCTGTTCTAAGGCCCTTCCCATCTCTTTACATTCCCTCCCTGTTCTAAGGGACTTCCCAGCTCTGACCTTCCCTGTTCTAAGGCTCCTCCAAGCCCTGACCTTCTCTATTCTAAAGATCATAGAATCACAGATTTAGAGTCAGAAAGTAACTTAGGTGTCTCAGCATATTTTTCTATTATGTCTTTGATGTCTGCCACCAGCTCGAGCTCTTTCTCTTTCTCTTCCTCTTAGGTAGGCCAGGAAGCAGCCCCAGGCTCTCCCCAGCCTCCATTCTCTTACCTCTTCACTTGATCACGAAAGTAATGGCCCCACCTTTGCCTTTCTCTCTCAGTGAGTGGAGAAAATGGGGCAAGTGTGGAGCAAGGTGAGTTATAAGGATACATTTTGAGATAGAAGGGCTCTTAGATGCAGTCAGACACCATTTTGTAGATGGGGAAAGTGAGGCATACAAATGAAGTCACCTGCAGCCGGGTTCACACAGCTAGGCTGAGAAGGGCTTTGAACCCAAGTCTTCCTGATTCCATGTCCAGTGCCTGACCCATGCGGTCCCTGGAGGTCTCTTAGAACTCACATTCTCTGTTGTAGGGTAACTCTATGGACAATCCCTTCCTCTGCGCCAGGCTCTTTGCTGAGCACTAGGGGTACAAGTATTCTTGTGTTCTGAGGTTCCTTCCTAGCTTTGACACCTTCTGTTCTTCAGTTTCCTCCTGGCTCTTCTGCAATCCTTCCTGGTTTCTGGTATTCTCTGGCCTGTTCATCCTCTGTCTCTTTTTTCTGGCCCCACTTCTGTCTCTTCCCCTTTAGCTCTCTTTTCTCCCTTCCTCCCTCCCTCATGGCCTTTCTCTTCCTCAGCACACTTACATAGCATCCACTCTGGGTAGTCCTTGACAGAGACTCTACCAGGAGCAATGCCCTTGTTATGTGGCTGCTGTCCATGGGCACTGGGCTGGATGTGGTCCCTTTAGGTAGCGCTGAGTCAGAAGGATGTCCTCGGCACATGGCTGGGGGAAGAATGTTGGAGGCCTTGGATTCAAATCCCAGCTGTGGTCACTTATCACCTATGGGGGCTTGGTTTCTTGATGTATGAAAACCCATTTGGTCCTCTGGGGCCTCAGTTTCTTTATCTGTAAAATGATAATGGTCTCAAAGGTCCCTTCTCTCTCAGAGTTTATCATCCTAACTCCCCTAAGCAGGTCCCACCTTGTTATCCCCTACTCAGTAAACTATCAGGTCCTCATGTCGGATCTGTCATTCAGAGCCCTTCCAAACCCACCCCGCCCTCCACACACACACACACACACACACACACACACACACACACACACCCCTTACACCTTATTTCCCAACACCAATCCTTCTATCCAGTGACACTGGCCTGCTGGCTGTTCCAGGAACAAAACACTCTGTCTCTCAGCTTCAGGCATTCTCTGGCTGTTTTCTGGTGCCTGAATTACTCTCAATCTCTGCTACATTTTCCCTGGCTTTCTTCAGTCCCAACTGAAATCTCACCTCCTGCAGGAAGCTTTTCCCAACCCCTCTTAATTCTAACACCTTCCCTCTTAGCTATTTGCTGTTTATAGCTTGTTTGTATATATTTCTTTGCTCCCCCTCCAGGGAGGGCTTGTCTTTTGCCTTTTTTTGGTATCCCCAGAGCTTAGCACTCTGGATGGCCATGTGTAGGCACTTAATAAATGTTTATTGACTGGCTGAATTCCCCCCTTCTCCCCACACACCGTTGATTCTTTAGTCCTTCATTCTTGAAGACAACCATGACATCAGGAAGGTGATGCCATGACACACAAGTGAATTGGGTTTAAGTGAGGGAGAGCTGTGCAAAGTTACTGGCCTCACTCTCCCCTTCAGAGCCATCTGGGTCCAGTGGCCAGGACGAGTAGAGATGGCCCTGGATGCAGTGGGAGACCTTGGCCTTATTAAGCTAAGGTCTTTCCCAGGTCTCAGTTTGACTGAGGCAACACCCATTCAGTGATTAAGGCTAGGTAAGAAGTGAGGCAGAGAGTGGCTGCATGACCCTGGGCAAGTCACTTAATCCCATTTGCCTCAGTTTCCTCATCTGTAAAATGAGTTGGAGAAGGAAATGGCAAACCACTCCAGTATCTCCGCCAAGAAAACCCCAAGTGGGGTCACAGAGAGTTGGACACCACTGGAAACAACATCCTAAAGAAGAGAGACAAGGGGGTGGCTGGGTTAGCTTCTTGGCACATAATGAGGCTGTCATAGAGAGAGAGACTGAGCAAGCCAGCAGGGGACTCAGGGACACAAACTCAGGCCTGGACTGTTACATTTTTAATGCTCTCGCCGCCATCACGGGAAGGGCCGTGGGGGAGGAAACCGCCCAGCCCAGCCCAGGCCCAAGCCCCTGAAAGCCAGGCTAAGGGAAACAGACAGTGAGGTTCCCGAAGCCAGAGGGAGAGGCAGGGTGGGGCAGTGGAAGGACCCCCATCATCCTCACGGCCAATGGGACTTTAGTTTCCTCATCTGCAACAAGATGGCAATCAGAGCAGCTGAGCCAACGTCCCTCCTATCTCTAAATCTAGGATTTTCTGAGAGAGGCACAAGTTTGGATGGATGGAAACGGAACAAAATCCTTGGAGTGGCAGGCAGAAATGAGAAAAGGAGCAAAGCAAGCTAAGCCCCTGAGAGACGGTGACCAGGCCTGGAGCCCAGGAGACCTGAGCTCGAAGCTGGCTTCAGACACTTCCTAGCTGTGTGACCCTCGGAGGGTCACTCAACCTCTCTCTGCCTCAATATCCTCATCTTTAAAGTGGGGATAAGAATATCTATCTAATAGGGTTGCTGTGACAAGCAGATGAGATAATCCTTGTCAAATTCTTAGGGAATCTTCAAGTATAATATAAATGCTAGCTGCTCACATTAGTATTATTATTATTAGGGCCTGGCCTCTATGGGGGGCCATACAGAAGTACAGAGACAGATGATTCCCACTGATGAGGACCCACACTGGGCCCCCACCCCACCTCCATCCGGATTTCCGCTGCGTGGGCAGGAGTATGCTTATTATTGGCAATTAATTAATTAATGAGGTAGCTAAGCCAGCAGCAACTAAGGGATCTCAAAGCACTTTTGCTAAATGAGCTCAGCCTACATCCTGCCCCACCCCTGGGGGGGACCCTATTTTACTAGGAGGCTGGGAGGGACAGTCTGGGCACCTGGAACCCTGGAGTCAGTCTGGCGGGAACCCAAGCGTCTTGCCTCCCAGCTTCTTCCTGGATCTAAAATTCTGAGCTGAAGTCCCTACCTGCCTAGGGACCCAGAGGTCTAGGCCTCTATGCATGGCCTTTCTTCATAACGAGTCACCCATTTATCCAGACCCATATCCCCCAGTCCCAACCCCTTTATGAGAGACCAAAGGGGTTTGTAGCCCCAGTCTCACCTCTCTGGGGCCCAAACATCCTTATCCCCGAGGCCTCCAGCCTCCACCCCCACACCTGCACCAGGGCGTTCTCTCCCTGGGCTGGTTGCCAGTTCTGACCTTGGCAAACCATGCCTTTTTCCCTGGCCAGGCCACACAGTTGAGAGGGGGGTGGCGGGGGAGACCAGGGACATCAGCTTCCCTTGCCTCGAGGCCCTGCCCCAACTGGTGACAGGTTTATGGGTATCAGCTGGGTCCCCGAACACCCTTCCTGGCCCATTGAAGCCCTCTTCCCCAGCCTGCAGGCTTCCTGCCAGATGGGCAGGGCCGGGGATCAGGATGCCTGGGTCCTGGCAGTACACAAAAAGAGATGCAGCTGTATCTTCTCTTGTTCCTCCCAGATCCAGGCCCTGAGTCCCCCTGTTTTCCCCATAGCTCCCAACTCTTAAAGGAACCCTTTTCTGACTTCCCAGTTTCCCTCCTGACCTTACCTCCCCCTTTGGGCACAGGTTGCCTGGGTGCGGCCACATTTTTCCTGGAGCTTCTTGGCTCCCCAGCTGGGCTGAGTTCCCTGTCCCACAGTGTGACAGAAAGGGAAAAGTCAGGGGAGGCCCTGGCTGGGAATCAGATGGCAGCCTAGCTAGGTGAACCTGAGCAAAGCCCTTTCACTGTGGGCCTCATTTTCACCGCTCGCTCATAGAATAGGAAGTTACCTGAGAACACCAGGGCTTGCCCAGTTCCAACATTCTTCACCTCCATCTGCCCTGCTCAGAACCTCCTAGGTTCCTGGTGCCCAGAGAACTTCTCCCTAATCCAGCAGATGCCTGCTTCACCACCCCATGTCCCATGGCCTGCTCCCCACGTTCTGATTGTTGGCCCTTCGCCTCATCCCAAATGGTCTATTGTGTTACTTTGCCTTCCACAACTGTCTCAATTCCAGTGACTTCCCTCTGTTCATTATTTCCTGTTTATCCTACAGGTAACTTGTTTGTACACTGTTTGCCTGCTGTCTCCTAGACTGTAAGCACGTTGAGGGCATTTTTGTATCCCCAGCACTTAGCACAGTGCCTGGCCCAGAGTAGGCCTTTGTAAATGTTTATTTATTTATTTATTTTTTATCTGTTTGAGGGGTGTTTTGGTGAAGCAGTTAGGGTTAAATTGACTTGCCCAGGGTCACACAGCTAGTGAGTGTTATGTGTCTGAGGCCGGATTTGAACTCGGGTCCTCCTGACTCCAGAGCCGGTACTGTATCCACTGCGCCAGCTAGCTGCCCCTGTAAATGTTTATTGGTTGGTGGTCCCCTGAACTTGAAGACTGACTCTTCCTTCTGTCTGCCATACTCAGTAGCTAGCACGAGGCCGGACACAGAAGTGATGCCAACAGCCTGAGCGAGGGAATGCATCTTCTCCAATACTGCCTCGCTTTAGACCCTGCTTCCTCTCAATGCTTCCATCTCTCTCCTCCCCAGGAGCCCAGAATGTCCAAGTTCAGATACCAGCTGAGGTTCGGGGCCTTCTGGGAAGTGAGGTGACGCTCCCCTGCCACCTTCAGTCTGGGGAACCTAAAATTCGGGTGTCCCAGGTAATGTGGCTCCGCTGGGACAGGTACGGGGGCAGCCAGAGCGTGGCCGTTTTCCATCCCACACATGGTGCCAGCTTCCCGAATTCAGGGCCCTATGACCAGCGTATGTCGTTCATCATTGGAAACTCGGGGAAAACTGAAGCGGAGCTCCGGGACGCCACCCTGCTGTTGAAGGGGCTGAGGGCTGAGGATGAGGCCAACTACACCTGCGAGTTTGCTACCTTTCCTTGGGGGAGCAGTAAAGGAGCCACTTGGCTCAGAGTGCTGGGTGAGAGGGCATGGTGCTGGGCTGGGGGATGGGGGGGGAGAGAGGGCAGGTGGGGGGGTGGCACGGTGGGGCACATGCTTTAGGGCCTAATCCAGCTCTGACCTAGTGTCCTAAGGGCTCTTTCTGAGTGAGTGGTTCCTGTCCAAAGGGGCCTCCCACCTATGACGAGGTCTAGTCTGTGTTTCCAGGTCCTGATCTTTTGGGTTTTAAAGGTTGTTCTAGGTCAGTGGTTTTCAAAAGAGGGGGCCACAGATTTCACCAGATGTGTCACAAAATCCTGGATGTTGTGTTGTGATAGATAAAGCAGTTTTTTAGTTTTGCTCAGTCTAAGATTTACTTACTTGGCCAAATTTTTATGGTAAGTATAATTTTTGCAAGACAGAATAAACTTGGCCTGTATCATTTAAGGTCAAACCTCAAAACATGTCAGACCTTGAATTTGCAAAGATGTCAACAAACACAGCTGCTCTTATTGAAGAGAAGTGAGCACTCGTGTCTCCTGGCCCTCCTCTAAGGCCCCATCGTGTTCTGGGTGTCCTTACTTCTCACAGCTAAAAATAGTGTGCATCCTAGGAGCCAAGGGTTCTTCCAACCCAGACATATGCATTCTGAGAGCCCTTCTGGCCCAGTCACACAATGTTCTGTGTTCAGTGTGTCAAGGACCCTTCAAGCATTGCTGGGCACAGCATCATTAGTAACTGGGGCGCTGTGCCTGGCACATAATAAGGGCTTGCTAAGTTTTTTCAGTCATTCATTCATCCGCATCTGGAACAGAGAGAGGTGGGAAATGGGAAGACCAAAGCCTTAATACCACCTTCTCCTTTCTCTGTCCTCCAGCTGAGCCAAAGAACCATGCAGAGTCCCAAGAGGTGACGTTGGGTCCGGACCCAACACCCATGGCCCGATGTGTCTCCACGGGGGGGCGTCCGCCTGCCCGCATCTCCTGGTTCTCTCCCCTGCTGGGTGAAGGCACTGAGAGCAGAACAGCCGGGCCTGTGACTGGCACCTCCACCGTCACCAGCCGCTTCACCCTGGTGCCCACCCCTCAAGCAGATGGGGCAAAGGTCACCTGTAAGGTGGAGCACGAGACCCTCTCAGAGCCTGTCCTGATTCCCCTCACCCTTTCTGTGAAATGTGAGTGGCCTGCTCTTCCCATAGTCCCTCTGCTTACTGTCTTTTCTAGGTTCGGGAGTCGACAGATATTATCCACTTATCCCCCAGTCCCTTCCTGCTCTGAGCCCTGGGTACTGTCTGTGTCTGCAGGTCCCTAAAAGATCACATGCAGTGCCCTCCCCTCTCCTTGCTACACTGAGCCCAGACCCTTCTTTTCTACCTGCCCTTTCCCCTAGACCCCCCTGAGGTCTCCATCTCCGGCTACGATGACAACTGGTTTGTTGGTCGAGTTGAGGCCACCCTCAGTTGTGATGCCCAGAGCAACCCTGAGCCCACGGCCTACGAGTGGAGCACGTGAGTCCTGGCTGAGGCGATGGGCTGGGAGGGGGCACCTGCTTCCACACTTCAACCCCAGCCACTCTGTCTGGTTCTTCAGCCTCTGCTGGCAGATCCTCAGAAGGGAGCAGTCTGTCTCACTGCAAGATACCTCTGACTGTTGGGAAATCTTTCCTCTCTACCAAACCTAAATCTGCCCCTTTGTAACTTCCCTCCATGGTTCCTGGCAAGCCCCCTGGGGCCATCACAGGTCAGCTCACCCTTTAAACCAGGAGGACAGCTCTCATTCCCCCCTCCCCCACTGCTTCTCTTCTCCAGGCCCTTAGTCCCCAGGGAGACCCTCCCCTACTGGCTCTCCATCTTATCAGTGTGCTTTCTAAAGCTGGTGCCTGGAACTGACCTTTGTCCTCCAGGTGAGGTCTGACTAGGGAGGAGCTTAGCCACGACAACTGCTCTGGAAGCCCCATGTGCCGTTAGCCTTCTTGGCCTCTGTGTAGCTGTTGACTCGTAGGAAGCTTGGAGTCTACCAGAACCCCCAGATCTTTTTCAGAGTAATGATTAATGCTTAACAAGGCCCCTATCTTATGCTCGTGAAGCTGATTTCTTTTGACTCCCGAGGGAGGACATTTATCTACTGCTCTGGCCTTTTAAGGTATTTTTGTCTCTTTTTATCTGTCCATCCACATGTGATGCACGCAGCGTTATCTGCACATGTGTCTGTCAGCACATAGCTGTCTGTTCCTCTACCCAAATAACAGACAGCCCGGGGCCAACCACAGAGACCTCGAGGGCACTCTACTGGAGATCTCCAGCCACTCAATGAGTTTGCCACCTCACACCCCTCTGCTTTCATCCAACCCTGTATTTCCATGTTTTCTGTGAAAGTAGCATGAGATACCTGATCCAACTTTGGTTTCTGTGTGCGGTTACCCTTTCAGAAAAGGCCGTGAGGTTCACTCTGGGCCTGGTTCTTCTTAGTGGTCAAAAGTTTTCCTCTCTAGATGTTAATGTCCCATTAATGATATCAAGGACCCCCTCCCTCACCCCCCAGAAGATCTGAGACTTTGGCAGGGATACCTGAATCCCTGCAGAGGAGAGGAGAGCGCGCCCGGGAAGGCAGAACCTGGTGGCCAGATGCCTGGGTCTGAGGCGTGGGAACCTGGGACTGGGGGGCTGGATTCTAGAGTACCTGAGGCAGAGGGAGGGGGAGAGGGGCTGCCACTCACAAGTGCCTCTCTTTCCCTCATCTCTAGCACCATGGGCTTCCTCCCCCCAACAGCTGTGGCCCAGGGACCCCGGCTCATTATTCACTCAGTAGATGAGTCAGCCAACACCACCTTCATCTGTAGCGTTGCCAACGCCGTGGGTACCGGTCGTGCCGAGCAGACCATCCGAGTTAGAGGTAAGAGGCCGTAGGGAGTGGGGAGCCTTCACCTGGCAGTCTGAAGCTCGGGGGGTGGGGCATACAGGGATGAAAGGTGGGACAAGGAGGAACAGCCTGAGGGTACTCAGAGATGCCATCCAAAATGCCCACACAGACCCACTGCCAGAGGTACCAAGGCCAGAGCTGGTATTGGAACCCAGGCCCGGTGACTGCCCAGCTACCCCTCCTTCTGCTGCCTGCCCTGCTCCCTCTCCTCTGGTTTAGGGATTCATCCTGTGTCTTTCTTGGCCTGGCTTTAGGAGCCTGGGGCTGGGCTGAACTGGGATGAGTTCTTCCCCCACCTCCTAGAGGCTGTGACTGCAAGAGCATTAAAAATGTAACAGCAGTCCAGCCCTGAGCCAGGCTCTGTCCTTCACGGGTCCTCTAAGTCTCCCTCTTCCTCTCTCTCAGCAGATTCTTCCCTCAGAGCCAAAAGGCACCTTAGGGATATCGAACCCAGCCCCCTCCGCTCATAGGGGAGGAAACTGAGGCCTCTTATCCAAGGCCACACTGGTAGTGAATGACAGAGGTGGGATTTCAGCCCAGGTCTAGGACTCCACACGCAGTGTTCTTTCCCCAGCACCATGCTGCCCAAGGGGCCCGCGTCCAACGCAGGCCCATGCCAGGTACCATTACCGAGGTAAGGGTACAAGTGACCACACAGAGGAAGTGCTAAGTGAAAATGACTCGGTATGAGTGAGGGAAGCTAGAGAGGGACAGAAACCCCACTGCAGACAACCACAAGGAACGAGTTTTACAGACATGAGCAAAAACGTAAACGTTCACTTGGGAAAACTCTCCCTCCCATTTTGTCTCTCCCTCCTCTCCTCTCTTTCCTTCCCTCTCCCCTTTCTCTCAGTCTGTCTTTCACTCTCTCTCTCTCTCTCACACACACACACACACACACACACACCACACACCACACACAGAGAAATATATTTATTCAGAATTGCTGTCACAAAGGCACACCCTCACAGACATAACGTGGAGAGATTATCACATCACCCAAGCTACGCCCCTGCGGTATGAGCAGAAAAGGTCCAAGTCTCTCCCGGGTGCAGACTAGGCTAATTTTTCCCTGAAATAAAGGCTTAGTGGGCTCTGAGGGCCAAAGACCAAGGATTTTAATCAATCAATCATCGTGAAGCACCTAATAAACTGTTAAGCACTATGCTGGAGCCGCCAGGTAGCAAAAGACAGTTCCTGCCCTTGAGGAGTTTACAGTCTAATAGCTGTAGCTTCCCACTGGCCTGGGTAAAAAAGTCTTATGGGGCTCCTCCCTCAGGCGTCCTCCAAGCAGACCATCCTGGGCAGCGCTGAGGCAGTGAAAATACAGCCAACAGCCACCAGACTGGCCTTGGCTAGCCCTGGCCTATCGTGCCCCCTATAACAGAAATACTTGGAAACGTCAGTAGGAACCCCCAGTCACACAGAGACGGCACCTACAACCCAGAGATACGTTGAAAAGATGTAAGAGGAGTCACATAAAGACAGCCACATGCCCAGCCGTACACACACTTGTAGAAATCCAAAGCTCTGGAGGGACCTGTGTACAGGCACTTCTCCAGGGATACATATACCCCCATCTTCAGACACAGCCCTACCGGTGGGGTGCTGGAGCCAATGAGAGCTCCACCTTAAAACCTGGCAAATAGGGGCAGCCAGGTGGCGCACTGGGTAGAGCTCTGGCCTTGGAGTCAGGAGGACCTGAGTTCAAATCCAGCCTCAGATACTTGACACTTACTAGCTGTGTGACCGTAGGCAAGTCACTTGACCCCGACTGCCTCACCAAAAATAGAAAAAGAAGTAGAAAAACTGGCAAATGCTACGACAGGGTTCGATTTATTAAGCGATGGAGAAAATGTTAATAGTGCAGGTTAAATTTAAGTGTGTGGTCTTATGCATTTTCAGAAATCTGGCTATTAAAAAACTTGACCCAAATAGCCCTGCTTGTAGGAGAGACTCACTTAGAAATACTATAGGAGATGCAGGTGTCACTGGGCCCTTTCCTCAGATGCACAGAGATGTAGGCCTGGCCAGAGTGAGACGGGCCAAAAGAGAAAGATAGGATCGACTGAGGCAGGCACCCAGCGGAGACAACCTGGGGCAGTGGGGAAGGTCTTCCAGTGCCCAAAGGACCTGGGTTCAAATACTCTGCTCTGCCACTGACCACCTGTAAGAAGGAAGTGACTTCATCTCTCCAGGCCTTTTTCCCCCTGTAAAAATAGGGAGCCTGAACTAAATAACCTAAACTTCTATATAACCCGTAAAGGCCCTTCCAGCTTTCAATCTTATTGCTCTATGAACTCTGACAACTCCCAGCCAAACTAGGCTAGCTGGGCCTGGAGTCTGGAACAGCTGAGTTCAAATCCATCCTCAGACACTTACTAGCTGTGTGACCCTGGGCAAGTCACTTCACCTCAGTTTGCCTAAGGTTCCTCAACTGTAAAATGGAGTTAAAAACACTACCTGCCTCCCAGGGTTGTTGTGAGAATCAAATAAGATAATATTCATAAAGCACTTAGCACAGTGCCAGGCACAAACTTAGCAAATACCATATACGTGTTTATTCCCTTCCCTAAATCTGGAGACACAGGCCTAGGTCATACTTGCCAAGAGGCCTCTGGAAGTCAAGCCCCCTCCCCAGTGTGTCTGAGGGCCATCTTTGGGATGCAGCAGATTAGATGGCATCTTTGCTGGCCTCTCTGAATTGGGGGAGGGGAGAGGAGTGGTGCACTCTGGGTTGCATGTTGTGGGAGGGGGTGAACGTTCCAATTGCCGCTTCCCTCCTGCCTCTTCCCAAGATTGGCATCCGTGGTGCCTGCTCCATCACCTCCCATTCGTCTAGCTTTATCCTTCCTGTTCCTCCTTCCCCCGGTGGTCTCCTTCTCTTTCATTCCATTAGCATTTGTGTATATCTCCTATTCCCCAAAAGTTCAGTGCAGTGGAAAGGGCCCTGGATTGACCACGAGAAGCCTGGGTTCTAATCCCATCTCTCATCCTGACCTGCTGTAACTTCTGGAAAACCCCTTCCCCCTCTAAGGCACTGTGCATGCAATAGCATCGGCTGCCACTAGGGGAGCTATGGTGTCATGTTGACTCCCTTGTAGATGCCTCCGAGGCTCTCTGGGAGAAAGTGATGGCCAAGGGTCCTTCCTCTCTCTTTACTTTCCTCTGACCCACGTTGTACCATCCCGTTGTTCCTCCCCCCAACTCCATCTTTCTTCTCTCGTCTTCCTCCTTCAAAATCTCTCTCTTCTCCATATTACCCCTTCTCTCCTGCCCTAGTGCCCTCTCCCTTCTATCATCTTCTCCACCACCCTGTGCTGACTCCTTTCTTTGTCCCTTTTCCCCCATGCTGTCTATCTCCCTTTTTCTTTCCTCCAATTCTGCTTTTACATCTCTTTTCTACTACCCACCCAACCTTTCTCCTTCCTACCCTTTACCTTTCTTCCTTTCAAACCTACCTTCTCCTCTTTCCTGCCTTCTCTTCCTCCAGTATTTCTTCTATTTCTCTACTCTCCCACATCATATTCTCTGTTCCCCAAACAAGCTTTCTGCTCCCTGCCTTCTCTACCACCCTCCATCCCTTCTCCTTTTTCTTAGTCCCAGTTGCCTCCTTTCTCCTCTCCCCAGGGCCCCATGTCCTCTCCCTCATGTGCTCCCGTGTCCCGTTGTTTCCCCCTCCTGACCCTGTCTCCTTTTTTTTTCTCTCTCTCCCCCCTGTCTACCCCTTTCTCTCTCCCCAGACACCCCCAGGGCCTCGACAGGAGATGTAGGTGCAGTGGTGTGGGGGGCCGTGGGGGGGACCCTGCTGCTGCTGCTCTTGGCCGGGGGGGCCATGGCCTTCATTCTGCTGAGGAGACGGAGAAGGAAGAGCCCTGGAGGAGGAGGAGGAGGAGGAGGAGCTGGTGGCTCTTATGACCCCAAGACCCAGGTTTTCGGCAATGGGGGGCCAGTCCTCTGGGCCCCCCCAGGCCCTGGTCCAACCAAGAAGGAGGAGGAAGAGGAGGAGGAGGAGGAGGAGGAGGAAGAGGGAGGGCTCATGCTGCCCCAACCAGGGGCTGAGGATGACATGGAGTCCCAGCTGGACGGCTCCCTCATCTCCCGGAGGGCAGTCTATGTGTGACACCAGGACATACCTACTTCCTACTCCCCTGGAGAGACCTGAGTTTGGCTCACGCCATCATGCACACCCTCTTGGACTGGGGCCAAGCAATCACACACATACACCTCTCCTCCTCCTACCTCCTCAGGGATCCGAAACCTGAGGGAAACACTGGATGGGCTGGTCAGACTGGAAAGACGCAGGAGCTCATCTGCCACCCCTTGGTTCCTGGAATTTGAGGCGGGCCCTGACTGGGACCTGGGGAAGTTGGGGAGAGGGTGGAGGGGGTGCACTTAATACATTGGACTTGGCTTCTCTACCTCCTGCGCTCAAAACAAAATAGGATATGAAAGGGGAGCTTTAGATCACCCTCTCTGTTTTGTCACCCCAGGGGAGACTGGGGAGGAGACTCAAAGAGACTATATTTTCATATAGGGTTTCCCCCCCCCACATCCATCCCCCTCCCAAGGGTTCAATAAAGGACCTTTGAGGAAGAATGAAGGGGAGTTCTGTGATTTGTCCCATTCCCAAAGCCGGGGGAGGGGTTGGTGTGCAGATCTGCAGGTCCCTGAATGAGGGTTGCTGGGCTAGATTCTGGGGGTGGGGGTGGGGGCATCCCTGAGTTAGGGAGGATGTGGACTTGGATATCTGGAAGGAGGAGTGTGGGCCAGACATTTGGGTCACTGTTGATTCTTTGAATAGGCCTTGGAGTCCTAAGGAGGGGACAGGATGCCTGGGACTCATTAAGAAAATGCAACCTGCTGGGAAGAGGAGGGTGGCTGGATGCCTGAGTCCCTGGAGGAGTGATGTGGGGTGGGGGCGGGAAGGGGGTGTCTAGACACCTGGGCCCATGACAGTGGGGGAGGGCAGATGCCGGAATCCCTGAGAAAGGGTGGTGGCTTCCTATCCTCCTTCCCCTTTTATAAACATGCATCAGAGACTGCTCAACCTCTCCCTCCTTTTGTCTTTCTTTCTGTTCTCTCCCAAGTCATGCCAGGGTGGTGGCAGAGGGGACTTTGAATGATTCACTTCAGGGCAGGAAGGTCCTATTAGCTCAAGCTCCTGAAATAGGGGGAGGGGAGATTTTTCTTTTAGGACCCTGGCTCTTTAAGTAGAAGAAAAAGAGGAAGGGAAGGGGGATTGGGGAGAACCCAGAAGATAATATGAATTGCCCAGGGTCACAAATGGTGAGTCACAGGCAGTTCTGGGGTGGAAAGCTAGGCTTCCTGATTCTATATTAAAGTGAAATTCAAATGCCAGGTCCAAGTAGAGACCTAAGAACACAGACTGGCCGAGCTGGCACATTAGAGATGGTCCAATCCAGCCCACTTTACAAATGGGCAAAATGATGAGCAAAGAGGGTAAGTGAAATCTAAGGTCACCCAGTGAGCCAGGATAGAAGTAGGAAGGTGAGATGAGTGAATTGGGGGAGAGGAGGGACTGAGCCTTCCTCGGTGCCCCCTCTCCCGCCACGGCCACCTCACTCTCCTCCTCTCTTTCTGGCAGAGTCCCCTGATACAGCGGGTGCTGGTGCCACGGGTGGTATCATTGGTGGCATTATTGCAGCAATTATTGCTCTGGCCGTGGCTGCCACCGCTATCCTGATTTGCCGGCAACAGCAGAAGGAGGAAGAGTTACACAGAAGACCTGAAGAAGAAGAAGATGAGTGAGTGACTCTAAGGGAAAGTAAAGGGGGTAAGGGGGAGTGAAGTATGGTGGGGAAAGCCCTGGTTTGGCTTCCAGTCCTGGTTCTAAGAATGACACCCTTTATGACCTCAGGCAAGTCCCTTCCCTTCTCTGTCTTTGGTTTCCCCTAGTATAAAGTGGCAGCTAGGTGATACAGTGGATAGAGCACTGAGTTCAAATCCGGCTTCAGACACTTAAACTAGCAGCATGACTCTGGACAAGTCACTTAATCCCTCTTTACCTCAATTCCTCATCTGTAAAATGGGGTCACTGGAACAGGAAATGGTAAACCACTCCTGTATCTTTGCCAGGAAAAGCTCATGGACTTTTTGTTCATGGGGTCATGTAGAGCCGGACATGACTGAACAATAACAGTGTAAAATGAAATGAATCAGGTTTCTAAGAATTTTCCCAGCTCTGACATCTTAGGTCCAATTCAACAAATATTTATTAAAAAGACTGAGCTAGGTACTGGGGGTGTAAAGGCAAAACTAGAAGTTCCTGCCCTCAAGGAACTTAACATTCTACTGAGAGGATACAGCATCCATACAGATGAGGAAATATAAAGTAATTTGCGGGAGGAAGAAAGCACTGACTACTTGGGAACTTCACAGAAGCCCTGTGACCTGAGGGAAGCCTTCCAGAAGATAAGGAGGAGAAGTGTGTGTGTTTCTGATGGGGGAAATGGCTTGTGTGGTGCAATGTTAAGTCTATGGCTTAGGACTACTAGGTTCAGCTTGGCTACGAGGGAGATTGTGTGAGAGGAAGAATGTGAAATAAGATTTAAAAGGAGAGGCGCTGGACGACCAGACTGGGGGCTTGTATTTTATGCTAGAAGCAGCAGAGTTGATGAGAATTTTTTGAATGGGGGAATGGGGTGTGTGAGATAGACTGACCTGAACCTTACAAAGACTTGTCAGTTCTGTGGAGGGTAGTTTAGAGAGAGAAGAAGCTGGAAGGAAAATTAGTCTACTGAAGTAGTCCAGACCCCAAGGAATTCAGGCCTCAACTGTGGGAGTTAGAGAAATGAGAACCAGTGTGACCGATGTGGTGATTTTGTTGACAAGATGTGATGACTGATTGCTTCGGGGAGATGAGAGAAAAGGAAGGGCCACGGTCTGTTCCAAAGTCACGAACAGGGTGGGTAGGATAGCAGTGTCTTCAGAAGGGGAGCCTGGAGGAGAGGGCAAGCTCAGGGGGCAAAGTAAATGATGTTTTGGACATGCTGGGTTTGAGACGGCAAGAGAACATCTGGCCAGAGATGTCTACTCAAGTCAGGAGGCAGTCTGTGCTTTGCTGGAGCTCACCCAGGGGATCTTCACTCCTGCAGTGGAGACCATAACTCATTCTCAGTTTCTCATCTCACATCCTCCTATAAATCCTCCACAGCCAGGCTCTACATAATCAGATTGCCTAACGTCACACGGGTAGCCGCAGAGCACGGAGGCTATCTGTCTACTCGTTATCCTTTGTTTCCTGGAAAAGAGAAGACTGGGGAAAGGGGGCTGCGGGAGATGGGACGTGATGCCCGCATTCAAGGCTCTGGCATGTGGAAAAAGGATTCGAGGTCCCCTCCCCAGAGGGAAGATGCCAAGAACAGTAGGTGGAAATTGCAAAGGGGCAATTATAGGCCATCCCAAAATGGAACAGGTTACCTTGGGAGGTCAAGGGCTACCATTCACTGGAGGTTTTCAGGTAGTGGCTTAATCTGGTGTGGTGAGGACTCTTTTAAGATAGCTGCCAAAGCCCCTGCTAACATTCTGTGATTCTCTAATATGATTAGCCCACACATCCAGAGACTGCTTCTGACCAATCTGTTCCCAATATGCCCCTCTCCGTGGGCCTCTGGGAAACCCACATCTTCAATTCATTGAAAATTGCTATTCCACAGCTTGTTGGATACTTGGCACCAAATCTAATGGGATTTGGGAATTAGGATGACTTTCATTCTAATACTGCCTCAGATACTTACTAGCTGTGTAACCCTGAGGAAATCACTTGACCTCTCTGAAACCTAACCAGCAAAATGGAGAGAATACCAGGGCTATCCTATGATAATGTATGGAAAGTACTTTGCAGACTTTTAAGCACTCTATAAATAACATCAGCTAATATTGTTATACTGGCAATGTGGCTGTTCCCAGAAGTAGGCCGCGCGCCTCCTGCCATATCTCACTCTTCTCTATGGGCCTTTACATGGAGCCTGTTATTTCCATGTCCACCCTTCCCCCTACACAACCCTTAGAGTAGGCCTCCTTTTTAAAACATCTCTATGTAGTATCTTTGGATACTACATAGCAAGGGCGTCAAACTCATACAGAAATGGGGGCTGCTACACCGTACGTAAGGCTCTCTGTGGGCCACCTGGAGCTGTGGTTTTAAAATGTAATGTTATATACGTTTTGCTGTATTTTTATTTATTTTGTTAAATGTTTCCCGGTTGTATTTTAATCTGGTTCAGGTCACGCTACAGAGTGGTGGGATGCACGTTTGACGCCTCTGCTATATAGCGTTCAGTGATGTTCAGCCATACGCTACCGCCAGAAGAATACTGGTATTGAGGTTGGGAAGACAGCAATGCAATTTCCTAATCTGATCCACTTAATTCCTCTTGTTTAATCAAACAAGTTAGCCCAAACCACTGTCCATTTTCTGTCTTTCCAAGATCTATCAGCACACATTTTTGTTTGTTTGTTTTTGAGGCAGTTGGAGTTAAGTGACTTGCCCAGGGTCACACAGCTAGTAAGTGTCAAGTGTCTGGTCTGAGGCTGGATCTGAACTCAGCTCCTCCTGACTCCAGGGCTGGTGCTCTATCCACTGCACCACTTAGCTGCCCCCCAGCACAGTACTTAGGTTGTCCATTTAGGTGCCTCTCACGGTCTTGAAAATAAGCATTTTTCACCGACCTATTCTTCCTGTGAAGACAGGGAGACCAAATTCCTTTGAGGTATTATCGATCCCATCCAGGGGTTTCTTGCAATAATTTCTCTCTGTTCAAGTGCTTCCTTTTGTGGTCCACTTTTTTAAAAATACATTTTTTTTAATTGATGCCCTATTTTTTTACATAACCAAAATTTCTCTCAGCATCCCTTCCTCCCCATTCCAGAGAGCCACAGATAGTTATTTTTAAAGACATAAAGTAGTCGTTCTTTCCACTCCCGTTGCCGTAGTCATGTCATATATTGTTTTCTCAGCTCCGCTTACATCACTTTGCATCAGTTCACGTATTCCCTCTGTGGTCCCCTTTCCTTACAGCGCAGTAATATCCCACTACATTCATGTGCCACCCTTTATTTAGCCATTTCCCAATGGACGGGCATCTACTTTCCAGTTCTTTGCCATCACAAAAAGTATTGGTGTAACTATTTTGGTACGTGGGGACGTTCGTCACTTGATCACTTTCCAAAATGTCCGTACCGATTCATCGCTTCACCAGCATTGCACCCACGTGCCTGTCTTCCCAGGACCTCTCCCAGACTGACTATTCCCATCTTTCGAGTCTGTTGGTTTGTAGGGTGTGAGGTGAAGCCCGAGGGCTGCTGCGGTTCCCTTAGCAGCGATTGGAAGTATTGTTCGTAGTTACTAAGAGTTCGTAATCGTTCATCATCCCTTGACACCTTCACTGTCAGACAATGGCTTTTGTTCTGCTGGCTAATTGTTGATGTAGCTGAGATATCTAACCTTTATTTAAAAATTTTGGTACAAAGATATTTCCTCTATTTGACTCATTCTCTCATGCTTGGTACATTAATTTTGTTTGTGCAGGAACTTTTAAGTTTCATGTAATTAAAATAATTTATTTTATCTTCTTATCCTTTGGTTATGAATACATCTCCTACTCACAGCTATGAAAGGTAATATGATCTGCTTCTCTTCTAATTTTTTCTTATGATCTTGAATATTAACATCTCATATCCATGTAGAATGTATTGTGGAATATAGATGGTATTGTAAGCTAATTTCTTTCTTTTTCTTTTTTTCTTTTTTTTGGCTAGGCAATGGGGTTAAGTGACTTGCCCAAGGTCACACAGCTAGTAAGTGTTATGTGCCTGAGGCCGGATTTGAACTCAGGTCCTCCTGAATCCAATGGCAGTGCTCTCTCCACTGTACTACCTAGCTGCCCCCTCTAAGCCTAATTTCTATCAGACTCCTTTGCAGTTTTCCCAGCAGTTTTTTATTAAATAGAGTTCTTTCCAACATAATTTATTGAAGACAGGATTAAGTTCCTTTATTTTTATCACCTATCTTTTCTATTCTATACCTTTTTAATTTTTAAAGCATTATCTGATTATTTTGATGAGTGTGAAGTCTAGTAGCTCATCTCTATCTTTTTTCATTATTTCCTTTGATATCCAAATCTTTTATTTTTCCAAACAAAACTTTGTTATAATGTTACTGAGTTCTATAAAGTATCCCTTTGATGATTTAATTGGTATTGGTGGTATTGCCATTTTTATTATATTGGCACAGCCCATCCATTAGCAATGAATATTCCTCCAGTTATTTAAGTTGTCTTTTGCGGGCACTTTGTAATTGAATGTATACAAATTCTTCTTATGCCTTAGTAGAGTGATTCCCAGATATTTCATGCATTTTGTAATTATTTGGAATAGGACTTCTCTTTATATTAATGTCTCTTGGCTTTCGTTATTACTATTATTATTATATAGAAATGCTGGGTTTTGAGGGTTTATTTTGTAGCCTACAACTTTCCTGAAGCTATTAATTGTCTCAATCAGCATTTTTACAGATTCCCTAGACTCTGCAATATTTCTTGGCTTAGTACAACCAATATAGTGTTATCTGGAAACAAGGAAATCCTCTTCACTTTGGTCTCTGTGATCAGATCTCCCAGAAAGCCTCCCCATGACATATTTCACCAGGTGATAATGGTCAGAAGTTCAAATTCATCTCTATTGTAATATCTTTCAAGGAATCTGACATAATGTTTATATTTACTTGGGAAACACTTCGTTGGAAGAGTCCTTAAGGTGACATCTTGTATTCTCATCTCAGGATTCCACTCAAGATGACTACCTAAACAGGAGACAGACCACCCAGCTCCCATAAGCAATCTTCAGCACTACTCTGAAATTCACAACAGACCCAACAGCGATCAGGAAATCCAATAAGAAATTACAGCAACTTCTCCCACCCCAGAACAGCAGAGCAGGTCAGCCAGAAGTCCAAGGGCAACTGGAAAGGTGGCCCCTAAGTACCAACATATGTCACGCTCCCAGTTCTCTGGCAGAGATATGCGACCCTAGAAGCGAGGAGGAAAAAGCAAAAAAGCAAGGCAGATCCTCCAAGGAAGTTCAGGGTGGGAACCTTGGAGGTGCCAAGGAGGGCAGCAGGCAGCACCTGGACTAGGACCCATCATGCCTAGCCTCTTTGAGACCCCTAGTCTTGTGATGCCAGAGAGAGAGAGCCCTGACCCTCAAAGATCCAGGGGGGCAAAGGTCAGCGTAAGAGCCCAGGTGTCCCCAGTCAGGACCAAGCCACTCAATGAAAAGTGCAGCAGAGGGCTGAGCCTGGCCCTGGCACAAAGTCCCAGTTCAAGATCTATATCTCTAGATCAAGTGGTATGATGGTAAAGATGTGGTCTGCTATTATTAGTGCCTGAATTTTTCCCCCTCAATCTTCCTCTCCTTCAGAAACCTTGTGAGTTAAACCCCAAACTTCCTGAGAATTGTGTCTCCTCCAACACGGATTGCTTTTGTGTATACCTGTCTGTTACACATCCTTTCCCCGGCTTTCTCATTAGTTCTCATTACTGCCTTTTCTACCTTCACATCCAAGACCCTTCATGGCTGTCTTTTGCTCTCCTGAATCAAATGCTTTTTTAAAATAGTCACATGACTGATAGCCTCCTCTTTCAGGCACCTATCCCTCAACACCCTGAAAACTGTATCACCTCCAAAATACATTTTTTCTCTGTATTCTTGGTCTGGTCCAATTATTCTGGTTTCGGGGTTTGTTTGTTTTTAATATCACGTTTCCATTTCTTCATGTAGCACAACAGGTGTGCTGTATGATGCTGAGTTCTACTTTCATTCCACTATGAAAGCAAAAGTCGGTTAGCGAAGTCTTGATAGATCTTTTCATCTGTTGGGTTTCCAGTTTCATGCCTCTTCTTTCCTCACTATGAGGTAGTTTCATTGGGTTTGTTTCCCCACCTTTATTAGTTCTCACTTTCTTTTTTAGCAGTCTCTCACTCTCCTCAATAAGATTCTGCTAATGGATTTACATCCCAAACCAGTGTTTCCTTTGTCATATTTCTCTACTTGGCCAAGAGATCCTTTGCTGGCTGGTTGTTTCCAGGCTCTTTGGGTCTCTTCATTGTAAATTTACTCTCACATCAGTTTAAAAAAATTTTTTTTTCTAAGGAAATAGTAATAGTCTAGTCAAATATTTTATTTTCTCAACTTTGGAATCAACTTCAATCCAGCCTATTTAAATAGGCCCAGTCCCATACCATGTCTTTTCTCCTTCTCCTCACCTGCTGTTGATTTTTATCTTTGCTTTAAAAAATGGTAATGGTCTGATTATACGCAGATGAGTCAGAAATGACTACTAGACTGGGAACCTGCTAAGCGGTGTGTACAGCTTTAGAAGGTTGAGAGAAACATTTAGCATGAATAAGAAAAGGGAATTTTCAAGGTGACTGAAGGGCTTTGGAATTTTGAAAATGATCTTCCTAAAGCACACACACACCACTGAATCCATTCCAGTGACTACCTATCATTTCCAGTATCCAAATACACACAAAATCCTGAGTGTGGTATTCAAAGCCCTTTATATCCTGGTACCCCATCTCTGTCTTCTTACATCACACCCTCTGCATCCAGTAACACTGACCTCCTTACATCACCTGATTGCAGGCATTTTCACTCCCTGTCCCTCCATGGCCGGAAGCCTCTCCTTCCTCATCTCTGCCTCCCTGCTTCCCTGGATTCCTCTAAGACCCAGCTAAAATCCCATCTTCTGCAGGAATCCTCAGGATCCCCTTTCATCCTAGCACCTTCTCTGTTGATTAACTCCAATTTATCCTTTAGATAGCCTGTTTATACATCATTTGCACATTGTCTTCATGGTCCCCCACCCCCATCCTCAGATTTCTGCCACTCTGTAATCATAGCCCAGTACAGAGTAGGTGCTATGTTTATTGACTGGCTGGAAAGGGATGAGGGGAGATAAAGTAAATTTGGGAGACTTTGAGAAGCTGAAGGCTTCACGTTTAAGGAGGTCAAAGGCTTGAGCTGAAGAACCAGAGGAAAAGAGAACAAAGGAAAGGGTAAACTGAGGAGCCTAAGCAAGATTTGAGATGAAGAAGTAAATGAGATCACAGATTCCTGAGAAGAGGGGGGAAAGTGGAATGTGTTTATCTAAGTTTTATAGGGTACTAAAAAGATAAAAAGGAGGGTGACAGCTCTGGAATGTGCCTTGATCTATTCTGTGGGGGAGCTAGAGACACAGAAAATGAGAACTGAAGGTCTCATTTGTAATGGCTACAAAGAGCAAAGTGAGCCTGTTGGAATTTTTTTTTTAACACCCAAAAAGGGCATTTCCATAGACACAGCTAAATACAAGCAGAATTCTCTATGAAACTATGAATCTCCATTATAAGTATATAATCAGTTTTATCCATTACTTTCAAAGCTGTCCTTGTCTGTGCTGCCTTCCCAATATCCTTCTGTTCCCTTCTTTGTGCTTTTTTATTTTATTTTATTTTATTTTGGCAATTGGGGTTAAGTGACTTGCCCAGGGTCACACAGCTAGTAACGTCAAGTGTTTGGTCTGAGGCTGGATTTGAACTCAGGTCCTCCTGACTTCAGGGCCAGTGCTCTATCCACTGTGCCACCTAGCTGCCCCATCTTTGTGCTTTTTTAAAGTGCTGCATTGGCCCCCTCTTTTTTCTTCCTTATTGCTATTCCCACCCCACCCCCCAAATTTCCTTAATTAACTGAAAGCAGGAAAATGCAGCTTTATAATTACTAAGGACAGTCAAGCAAGAAGAAGCCTCACAGTGGGTTATGTCCCCAAGGGTCAGTTTCTGCCCCTTCTCTGTCCAGAGGTAGGTGCCAGGTCATCCATGGGCAGAGTTGGGCCTTGCTCTGATCAGCACTCGTCTGTTTCTTTGCAGCGTGGTTGTCCTTGGGTAATCTGTTTGCTCTCTATCAGTCTATATTACCCAGCATTCCCTGGAATCACTTCTTAGGACACAACAATGCTACTTCATGTTCCTACGCCATTATTTATTCAGCCGTGCCAGAGTTGCCTAAGAGGCCATCTACAGCACCCCTCAGATTCTAGTTTTAATCAGGGACAATTTTGCAATGACTGTTGTATGCAGGCAAAGGGCAGGCTGTTCTCTTTCCTGGAAAAGTAGAAAAAGACTCTTGGGCAATACCCCTTCACAGGCCAGGAAAGCAGAAGCAACAGAGTGGTTCTCAAAAAACAAGAAGAAATTAAATTCATTTGTGCTTAGCGCTAGGGAGACAAAGATAAAACCAAGACAATTCCTCCTTCGAGTTTTGCTTCTGTGGGGTAAGCCATGTGTACACAGATGTATATTTTGTGAGTCCAAATGGAATTTCTGGGCAGGTGGTGAAGAGGGCTACCAGTTCTTGTGCCGAGTGGCCCTTGACCTGAGCACCAAGAGGACAGCCCTGGACACACTGGCTCCTTCCTACTTTTCCAGAGTTCCTAGACTGTAGTCTTCCCCCTCCCCAGTACTCTCTTCCTGCAGAGCCCTGAGCACCGCATGTCCCTGGGCCATTCCCCCCCCCCCCAGGTGCCTGGCTTGCTGTAGACTCTGCTCCAATGCCTTCTTATGGAGGAGGCCTTTCCTGCTCCCTCCCCCAGCTCCAGCTCCTTGTGTCTTCCCTTCTAAAGCTCAGTATGTATCATTTGTATATGAGATATATGTATATATTGCATGTATGCAACATTTACATTTGTCTCTCCTTCAGGGAAGGGACTGGTTTTGCTTTTCTTTGTATCTCCATCTCTTAGCATATTGCCTGGAGCATAAAAGGCATCTTACAAATATTTGCTGATTGACTTACACAAAGGCACAGAGGTGAGAGACAGAATGTTGCGTATGGCAAACAGTAAGTCGGTTTAGCTGTAACACAGCATGCACGTTGTTCAGTCGTGACCAACTTTTTCTGACCTCATTTGGGCTTTTCTTGGCAGAGATACCAGAGTGGTTTGCCATTTCCTTCTCCAGCTTATTTAATGACGCAGAGTGAAGTGACTTACCCAGAGTCACACAGCTACAAAGTGTCAGAGGCCAGATTTGAACTCAGGAAGATAAGTCTTCCAGACTTCAGGCCTAGTACTCTGTACTATGGCACCACCTAGCTGCCTAGAGTGCATGAGGGGGAAAGTAGGCTGAAGGCAAGTTATGATGGGCTTTCAATGCTAAATACAAGCGTTTGTGTTTTATCTTGGAGGCATAGGGAGCCACTAAAGCTTCTTGAGCAGAGGAGTGATATGGTCAGACCTGCCCATTAGGAACATTGATTTGTATGTGGAAGATGGATGGGAAAGGTAGACTAACGAGATCTGTGGATCCCCCAGAGAAGTCATGGTGACGAGTGACCCTTTGCCAGGGGGACCTCCATGGAGCTGGCATGAGGTCAGTGTGGGGAGCCGCTGCGGCTGCCCCATGCCACAGGGAAGGCTTAGAAAAGTATTCCAGGGAAGTCTGTTGAGGAAGTTCCGTTAGGGGTGCTGGTAAGAAGGTGGGGTCTGAAAAAGAGGATTTGGAATCCTGGACCACAGATGAAGAGAGGAATGAGTCCTGGCCAGGAACGCAGCACGCCTAACAGTGGGTTTGCTTCATTCAGCAACACTAACAGAAAGGCAGCTTGCCACAGGGGATACAGTCTTCTAGGAAGACCTGGGTTCAAGGCTCCCGTCTGACACATATAGGCCATGCGATCCTGGACAAGTCACTTACACTCCCAGTAGACAAGACTGCTCTCTAAGACTACTGAGGTGCAGAGAAGATGCCGACCTCAAGGCCTCAGTTGGCCCATACTCGTGTGAGGAGGCAAAGTTGACCCACCTCTATCACTGAGAGTTAGGATGAGGTCCTAGAGCAAAATTCAGTTCTCAACATAGCTACTTGACTCAGAAGGAACAAGGTTAGAGGGGGATACAGAAAGGCAGGAATCAAACAGAGGCAACATACAGGGGGCATTTGGGTGAAGGTCAATGAGAGCAGAAGATCCCTGGAATAGGGTCCAGATGACCTGGGCAGAAAGAGCCCAGAGGTGGGGCCCACACCCTGACCACGGGATAGGCTGGGCAGGCATGCAGTAGAGGATGCATCTGCCAGCGCCCTTGATACCTAAAGCAGAATTCATTTCCTGATCTCCTATAATGGTCCACTTAAAGGTAGAAGAACCACCTGAGAAATTCTACTCTGGATCTGCTTCTTGCCAACAAGAAAGATCTGGTTTCTGGGCTAGACATTTCAGGAACTTTAGAGGGAGTGACCACTCCCTCCCGAAGCCTGTGGCAGGAAAACCGGGCATAGTCTGACATACACCACAGAGCTCTGAGGAAGGATCGGGAGGGTCCCACGGCCTAATATTCTTTTGGGGGAGGTCCAGGAGGGACAGAAGGCTATCAAAAAGTAAATACTAATTTAGGCATAAAGAGAAACCATTTTGGTGAAGTGGATTTCTAGAGGACCAAAAAATACATAGAGAACCTGAGAGCAAAGACAGGTAACGAGCCGGTTAAATATGAAGGGGTGCAGAAATCCTTCAGGAACAGTGATGGGAATGCTGAAGCTTAGGCTGGCTGGGGCTGTCAAGGGAAGCGAAAGACAACTAGGGTTGGTTGGTTTTTTAAGCCTTGTTGAGACAAAAGGGATTAAGGACTAAACAGGGCAGTTATTATGGATGCGTGGGGAACAAAGTGT